AGTGTTGTGCGTTTCGTCTGGTGAGCGAGGTAACCTGGGCTCACTTTTTCAAAAGGTGCCAACGCATCTGCAACCCTACTGGTGTTGCAAAATGTCAATGGGTGGAGGTTATCACTTTACATCAGGTGAACTGCTTGTTCGCTTGCCACCTTTTCACATAAAAAAAAAACTGTTAGTATGGCTAATAAACAAATAAATCATAATACATGAAAGAATAATGCTCATACTTAATATAGTTGTAGATTAGCCGCCTGTTTATAACAATTTGGACCGTAAAACAGCGCGACCACATTTCGCCGTCTCGATTACGCTCCAGAAAATATCGCTTGGTAAACTTTACAGGGCGTATTGTGTTACGGTCGGCGAGTTGGTTAATGGCTTCCATAGTGTTCGGGCGCGCCTTTTGCCGTGGCCGAGATTTTGCTTAAGTAAACAGCTTTAGGAGCGGGACATATAGCGTCAGAACGGGGTCAGGTCAATGTCAGGCGGCTGATAGGCGAGGGTTATCAACGTTTCCGCGCCTGTGCAACATTTCAAATTCCAAGACGAACCAATATAAGTGGATTCAAGTAATGTAATTCAAAGGTGGTGTTGGTTAGATCTCCATATATTATTTCGCAAAGGCTTTTTTTTTCGGCATGCCATAACTTCTATGATTCTTCATCAAATGATTTAAATACTTCATTGAACCATACGTTTGCCGATATTGACAAAAATAAGACAAGATAAAAAGTAGAATAAGTTAAAAAGATTTTCCAAAAAAAATATTCATTTAAAAATTTAATGTATGAAAATAATATTATCTTCGTTTTTTTTTTTATGCGAAAAGTTGCCAAACGAGCAGACGGGTCACCTGATGTTAAGTGAATACCGACGCCCATGGATATCTGCTACACCCGAGGGTTACAGATGCGTTGACATCCTTTTGAAAATGGGGCTCCGGCCACCTCACTCACCAGACGAAACGCGAAAGTATTTGTCATACTTACACTTTACGCTGGTCTTCTGTGAGGTCGTGGTACCTACCGACTACGGGGCCTGCCGACGGGGCCGCCCATTCGTGCAACAGCCGAGGCTGCTGCGTGTCCCTACCACCATAGAATTCGTTATTACGTAAACGTTATTCTTCAATATATGGACCTTTCATTGATAAAATACTGTACTTTACGGTATATTTGGGAAATTTTCACACATGTCAACTTGTTTATTCATATTAGTAATATAACTAGGAATTATTATCATTCGTCGACTGCATTTTTATCCTTCACAATTACTAATAATAACTGTTTAGAGAAACATGAAGGTAAATACTTATACAGCTTGTCGTTACAAACGCGACAATAAATGAACAGACGTGTAATACTACTTGCCAATAATCATAAAAAAATATAAAACATTAAAAAAATCCATAATAAAAAAAATATATTTTGCAAACAAACTAATTAAATAAAAAGGAAACAAAATTTTTAACATCCTATACAACTACAACTGACTGATTCATACATTCAGAGACGTGCTACAACGTCGCATTACAAGTCTCTCCTTCTAATAGTATATTTTATCACTTTTAAATTCATTCAATCCATTCATATGCTATGTGACCTTTACAAATGAACTTTACGTTACAGTTTTATACATAAGGGTTAGGGTACAGTTTTATACATATATTTTACATAAAAATGTTTGTTTTGTAAAATTTAATAACTCGGTAAATATTGATGTTTAAAGAATGTAAATGCAATTTCAATTTAATACAATTGTAAAAAGTTATCCTCTATATGTGTGTTCATTTATTGTCGCGGTTGTCACGACACGCTGTATACATACACTAGTGGTCGCCCATTGGACGAAATTCGGCCATAAAGCATTAAATTTAGTAAATTATTTCTATACTTATTCAATGCAATTTAAAGCCCTATTTTATCGCGTTCTCGATGATAAAAAAATCGCAAGAAAACCTAAATCTAAGAAATAGCACAAATGGACTTCGACTTATGAATTCCGCCATTTTTCACCGGGGACGCTTGACGCAATATGATTTAATTCTGTGTCTACATTAAAAGCCTTTGAAACATACACATCCCACTATAAGTATGTTGTTATTTTACTTTACTGATCTAATACCGTGTTCAAAAATAATTATATAACTAGTTGGTACCCGACGGTTATGGTACTCGAATTAGACGATTGAGTAATACGCGGTTAGGTTCAACTTCCATTACCCGCCCTGAATGCGAACTGATTCATCTGATTGAAGGGATATTTCTGTATTAAAAAAAAGAATATGTTGAACTCTACATACTTTCGTGATAGCCTCTAAACGGTGGTAGGGCCACGCAGCAGCCTCGGCTGTTGCACGAATGGGCAGGCCCGTCCGGGTAAGTATCACGACCTCACAGAAGACCAGCGTAAAGTAGAAGTATGACAAATACTTTCGCGTTTCGTCTGGTGAGTGAGGTAGCCGGAGCCCAATTTTCAAAAGATTGTCAACGCATCTGTAACCCTTGGGTGTGGCAAATGTCCATGGGCGGCGGTATTCACTTAACATCAGGTGAACCGTCTGCTCGCTTGACAACTTTTCGCATAAAAAAAATCTATTTACGCAATATCATGTAGTAGTTTCATATGAAATAACCAGATCAGAAAATTTATATCGGTCGATTTTCGATCCTTTAAACGAGCAATTATTGTATATTATATTTAGTATGTGCGTAGATTCGGGGGCGAAAATTCGATCCAGCTAGGTTTTATTTTTAGAAAATGTCCTTTTATCCCTGTTTTCAGGGATATATCATTCGAATATGAAAGTAAATTTCGCCGCAAAAAAAAATGTTATAATAGCTCGGTCGGTAATCGGGCGGCCCAAAAACAGACGGCCGCGGTTCGTATCACGATCATTTACACACTTATTTTTTTTTACTTTTTTTCTATAGATACCAGATCATTTTCTTTATTTTTATTTTTTTATATCCAAAATACATGATCTACCAAAAAAAACCGAGCAACGCTCGGTCCTCCAGGTACTTTGATTAAAGCTAAGGAATTACAAAGAAAAAAATGGATATTTTTTAAAAGAGATCTTGCCTCCGTGGGGAAAAGACAGGATTGACAAAAGACAAACTCCTATGGCGAGTTCTTATTCATTGAACTCCATCGTTACCTTGAGCGGGGTCCCAAGATAGTCTTTTAGGAATTATAGACGGGAGGGAATACTTTAGTCATATTCTGTACACCCGGGACATACATACTTAACTTTCAAAATTGTTATTTATTGTTAAATTGTTAATTATATTTTGAGACAAAAATAAATATCGTTATTAAGTATAAGATTTCTTTGTATAGCTTTGATTAGTAAAGTCGCTTTTCGTAAAGTTAATAAAAATATCTTTATAACTGGTATAACAAATAAGTTGCGTAGTAATTATGGTAACAGAGTTAAATAGTATTAAGGTATACGTGGTCTTAATTTTGTCATCAACTCGTGGCCACCTGGTTGGTGTAGATAAACAGAAAAATTGGTTTTAAATTGCATTACTTTGGATGAACTCAACATATTGGAATGTACACTTAATAATTCTTTACTAGAAACATACTCTTACATATGGACATTCTTGTAAGACCACGTCGTGACTCTTTGTGTTGCATTACTATTAGATAACATCTTTTTTCCTTTTCTGAATATTTGGCGTTATTGCGCGGCGAGAATTCACTTCCATGTGTTTGCTAAATGACACAATGCTCTAATCTAATTTCGTACTTTTTGCAAGAGTCAAATAAAGTTGGATATTTTTCTTCAGGATTTATTATGTTTGAGCAGGTTAAATCCAACTCTTAACACACTGTTATTATGCCAAAATTCACTCATATTAGGTATATGAGTGATTTTTGTTGAGTGAACTGATTGGATTACATGGAGAATATATTATTACCAACAATCCAATTATGATTCATACAAACATACAACACTTGTCCCCAATATCGATAAACAATATTGTAACGTAAATAACTCTAGTTTTAAAATTCCGTATTACGTCGCATATTGCGTTTATGCGGTCAATTACGACAAAGCTTCCAGAAATAGCAGATTTGAGAGCGAAAACGCACATTCTCGCCCGTCTTCATGAGCCCAACTCTTTAAACAACGTATTCTATTATTGAATAGCATACAATCCTTGGCACGATTCGTCCATAAATAGTCCATTTTTGTATTTATCGTTTTACGGAGCTTGTTTCAGTACATTGTTAAAGAGATTTAATAAAATAGAAGAGCGTCCAAAAGCAAATAAAGAAATGCTAATGACGAAAAACTAGTTTGCCGGCAACATTATTGCTTGGATGTCAATTAGATAATGCGCGGGAACCCAGCGTAGAGCGTAAACACTACGGAAGCAGTCCAATGTCATTCGCCCACGAGACGCATTTATTTAATCTATGGCAGCGAGCCTCCACCTAGAAACAGTATTCAACACCGGCGTCTATGCTAATGTTTTTTTACGAGTTCTGTTCGTACAATCTGTTTTCGAGAGGCGTTCTTATACCGACCTTCGAATAATATTAGACACAAAAATGAGTCGTCGCTATAAATGTTAGCAGATATCGTAATAGTAAGATTCGATCATAGATATCCAATGATAAAATAAACAATTGAATAACGTTGGACGTATCGTTTTAAATAATTTTTCAATACAGAAATGAAAGATAGATGAATTAGGTAAAAAATCAGGCCGAGTACCTATACTGTCAACGAACTTAATACCGACAGAAAAAATTGTAATTGCGTTTCGCACTAACTTTTTTTTCATGAAACAAACTATTCATAAATGTTTAAACTGGAAAGACAATAGAGATGATTCGAAAGAAGGCATACTAAATTAGTTACGATACATTTAATTACTATATTTTTTTGTTTCAGAACACAATGAGGCGGTAGTGTCTTGGCGACATATTGTAAACGAACATATTTTGTTAGAAATCGCAGTGTGTGAAATTCAACGGGCGAAATGAAGCGATTGACAAAATGCTGCTGTTGTGCATCCACAAGGACAGGCACTATCATCACCGCGACCCTCGGCATCTTGCTGTCCATCGCGACCATCATCACCGTTTGGGTGGTGAACAGACACGATGTCTCCTTCAGAACCTTCATATTCGCCGAAGAGTTTGACAAGAAACTGGCAGCATTAGACAGTTAGTATTTCTCGCTTCCGCTTTGGGAACAGTTTTGATTCTAACTGAATTTAATTTTCACTTTCTAATAGTATTAAAGTTTTACAATACCAATAATAAATAACGCTCCGGTTCGACGGTACGGTACCAATAATAAATAACGCGGTCGAAGTACCATTAAGTGTAGAGTCCTATTATGAATACTTTTAAATTGGATACCTAACAGCATGGTTATAAGAGAAACTCCAGGTTTGTGTGTGATATGTGTTGTGTGTGACAACTCATTACACGAATGAGCACTGGAAATGTGCACTGAGAATTACTCGTCAAGGACTTATCACATTCTCAAATTATTCCTCCTTAATAAGTCCTATGATTAGTCCGAAACGTCCTATCGGTGTAGGTACCGACTAAAGTACCTACTACCTACACCGATTGGACGTAAGCTGTTTTAACTATTTAGTTACTACAGAATCACATGAAAATGACCTCAAGTATTTTTACTTTACCATTTATTCTGATGATTGAATTTTACATGCTGAATATTAAAATAGTAAAACCTTTATACAGGTTAACATATCTGGATGCCTTACAGATGTTATAAACGAGCAGGGGTAGTGTTATGGTTAGCTTGTCACCTTCGCAAATAAAAGAAAATGAAAATTAAGAATTATACGAACAGATATTTGAAATTTACGAAACAGAAGTCCATAGCATCGATAGCTGTGGAATATTTATTATTGCAGATGACGACACATCGTGCTACTATAATAGTGAATATACTTTTGTGGTTACAGCACAGTCACGATTCCCGCAAGAAAATCAATGAAACAGTGAATAAAGTGCAGTGCGTCATGGCTTATCGAAGCAGTAAAATGTTATTAATGGCAATCGCTCTAGAACCCAATGGAAATAGAACTTCTCGGGTTGAATCGAAATTGCACGCGCATAAAACTTTTCTTAGGGACAGAAAGATAATCTATTAATTAAACGTCTGGCTGCGTTTTGATCTTGAGAAAAATGTACATTTTTACTGTGGTAGATAGCATAGAAGAGACATATAGAAGATCATGCAGCAGTTTTCGCTGTTGCACGAATGAGTAGGTCCGTCCAGGAAATTTAACGGACCACACAGAAGACCGGCGTGAATTGGAATTGTTATACTTCTGGGTTTCGTCTAGTGAGTGAAGTAGTCAGGGCGCACTTTATTGAAAGGTGGCAACGCATTTGTAACCGGTGACGGCGGTTATCACTTAACATCCGGTTAACCGCCAACTCGCTTGCCAACTTCTTACATAATAAAGAGGAATACATCACATTTTATTTAAAAATTAAACACATCTCGTTAAAGGGATTTAAAGAATATTATGTTAGTACAATTTATATTCGCAAGACACTTTAAGCTCTCATTTAATCAATGAAACATATTAAGTCAGCTTTTCAAAGTTGATGAATCCCTCATTGCCAACAAAAACATTTTTACATTGGAGTACATCATTAATAATATCTTTTTTTCTCATCTTTCAGTTCCAAGAATAATCCTGACAATCAACCTATGCTTCACCATATTAATATGCTTTTTGCTGATCGTCGCAGTACACAAGGTAAGAGCGTTTTTTTAATCAGTTGTCTGTTTCCAAGGTTGTCCAAACAAACTGTATGTATGTATACATAATTGGTTTTAAAATAGGGAGTTAATAAGCAAGGACTCGCCTAAATTAGCCCTCCACTCAAAATCCCAAGTTATGTCGAACTCGATGTTACTAAAACCCCACAGTAGTCGCCACATTGTTTGACCACGAAACCCTTCGACTGGCGGAACCAACTGGCAACTGGCAACCTTAAAAGGGGTGGATGTAAAGCATGAAGTATTTCTTAAATTAAATCTAAAAAATAATATTAAAGCACGATCAGACTTCGTCACATTATTTAGTAAATATAATGTAAAATTTGTTCATTAAAATAACTATTTTTGAGGTACTTTCGTACATAATATACGTACTATTATATTATATTATACGTATAATTATATTATTATATTATACATCTACATTAATATGTGTGTTTACATGCTTAATGCAGACGTCGTTTTCGGTAAGCTTATAATATTTTGAATGCTTTTAGAAGTTTTGTGTTTTCTGTTATTAGTAGTTATTAATTTTTTTTATAATATAAATCTATTCTATGCACTTAAGATGAAATATAAAATTTGCGGATGAATAAATCTATTATTTTTCCAAATTTTAAATATAGCTTCAATTAATATCTTGTTACGTGAAATGACATTTCTATAATATTTAAATTAAAATATCCGGCTTTATTGCATACGTTAAGTCCTTTTTCCATTGGTATTTAACCGCCTTACTACTATTAAAACATGTAGAAAAAGTTCGAAACGATTGTCGCCGCTGTGGGAATCGAATTCACGTCTTCAGCATTCGCGGCCTGATGCTCTAGCTACTAAGCTAAACGGCTGATTGCCACACCAACGAAAATCTTAACGTCTTTTATCTACATTATTTTTTAGCATTTGAAGCAATGCTTGGCGCATCCATTGTTATATCCTTTCCACCATACAAACAATTTCGAATATCGTTTCACAACGATAATTCGAACGAGAGATGTCGCCATTGCTTTTTTAGAAATTATAGTGTTAATCTCTGCACTTAAGATTGAACATTAAAACATGCCTTACTACTGTAAAAATGCTGTTCTCATTGTAACTAGGGACAATAAAAACCGGATTGTAAATGATATGCATACTTTATGAGTAACTTGAAGTAGTTTCATTGTTTGCAATACCAAGCTAGAAACACAATCCGCAGCATGGTTTATTGTTGACATTCTGATTGTGAATTTAAGTAAATACGTAAAGTATAGTTTTTAAACTTTGCGGAACATGAGTTTGAACATAACGAAAAGAAAAGTGATAATGTTTAGCCATAGTAAAGTAACAGCTAAGTAATCATTAATTAATGAAACAAAGATTTTTCTCTAAAATAATAATATAGTAGGTATTTCATGAAATTAAAAAAGAAGTTAAATCCTGACAAGACAATATAGAATTCATCCAGCAAAGTTAGAACACGAATAGTTTATGAAAAAGCGTTATTACACCTTTGAAAGGCAATCTTACGAATACCTCACAAGAAGTAAACAACAAGCACGCTCTTTCATTAAAATAGTTCTACGTGATTCGTATTGATAAAAACGTATTTTTCTGCACGAATTAAGGGTATTGTTAAATGGGTCGTTTTCTTTTGATAATATAGTTACTAAGCTATACGCTTTATATTAAGTGCACTCTTACAAACAGTTGATCAGAGCCAAGATGTCGGTATATGTGCAGTAAAACAGGATAACCTTCTCAAAAAGGTTAAAATAGTGGATTCGATTTCCACAAGGAAATAGATCGCCAACAAACAACAGTTCAGGGCCAGTCTTATAAACGATTGTATCTGTAGGTAAGGAGTGCAATTAACATTTTTTTTACAATTTACGTTTGCCTATATCGTACAAATTAATACTCCTCCTCTTTAATTATATGCCCCTTAAGAATAAGATAAAGCTATATCATTGATTTCGGTTGAATTGCAACGACGCTAAGGGCTATTATGAGAATTAATTTCCATTTAATTGGAGCGACGCTCTTGGCCGTTATGAGATCTGATATCCGTTTAATTCCAACGAGGCTCGTGACCATTATGAGATCTGATATCCGTTTAATTCCAACGAGGCTCGCGACCACTGTGAGTTATAATATCGGTTGAATTGCAGCGACGCTCTTGGCTCATGCTGCCGTGGGTGGTGCTGGGCATAGTGCTTGCGATCGGTCTTCTGATCAGCGTCCTGCACACCGCCATCACGTACTACCTCGATGGGCAGGACCACGTGATACTCGCCACCATCATACTCATCGGTGGACTCCTCTATCTGTGTAAGTTTTTCTATTTATTTGTTGGTACTGGTACAAAACACCTAATGGTCTGAAGTCCACTATTGTACGTTTTATGTGCAAAAGATTTTTAAATAAATAAAACAAGTAACGCACAATGAAACATCATAACAATGGGGCCATACCGACTCCGCAACTGGTCATAGAAATTAGTAGCACTCTATTTGTATTATGGTCTTTATATGCGAAAAGTTGGCAAGAGGATTAGCGGTTCATCTATTAAGAAATGCTAACCACCGCCCGTGGACATCCACTCCATTGAAGGGTTACAGATGCGTTTCCAATCTTTAAAATAGGTATCAGTCAGACATCAGGCAAAATTCAAATTGCACTTCTACTTCACGCTGTTCTTCTATGAGGTCTTGGTGCTTTTCCGGACGAACCAGGTCGCTAGTGCAAGCTGTTACGTTGCTCTACCACTATTATTTCATACGATTTAGACTAAGTTAGAATGGATTAGGATTTTAGAACGAGAGCCTATCTTACCAAAAACGTTGGCGCAACAATAAATAAATTGAGAACGGGTTGCTCTCTTTTTTTTTATTGTTGCGTTCGGTTGCCTTTTCTCGGCCACTATCACCAATATAAAAATGGTTCATTGATTACAAAAATCTAAGAATCAGTTAGTTGCGAATCTCGAATCTATTAAATGTTGACCTTTGAACACGCAGAAACAACATTGAATTTAGTTTTACTTGAAATATGTAGGTATGTAAAAGTAGAGAAATATTTCTAATTATTTTAACACTACAGAAAGACTGTTTAACTTTTCTTTGCCGTAAAGGAGATGAACGTTAAGAAATCTTTATGAAAGAAAGAATATAGAGGAATATCCGCTTCTACGACTGTACACAGAAGGAGATGCTTTTCTTCTTCCTCCGTCGTGAAACAAATAAGCTGCATCTTGATTCAATTTGTGGAATTAATTAAATATTCTTCTTTTCTTCTCTTTTCAGGTCTGTACCTCTACTTATGGGCAGTCGTGTTCAGCCATTACTTAGATGTACGCGACGAGGAAGAGCGAGGAAGATACTCAAAAGCCCCATACAAGCGTTGAAACAGCGTAAAAATAATTTACAAAGTAATCACGTTAAACGTACTTTATGTTCAAAGAAAAGTACAAACAAATCTTAAGTAAATGATAAATTATGTATCACATGACTGAGTGGAAAGCGTTATATATATCGTCTACTTATATATTTATACGGATGGAAGTATGTAATATATTAAAGCCGTATTAAATTAAATAAAAGAAACATTTCATTTTATTAAAAATAATTGCTAAATACTAAAATTATGCCTTCAAATAATTGCACAATCATTTATATTACATCATTTAAAGGTATTTTCCGTGACGTGTTCAAAGATACGGGATTTTCTTAAGCCAATGAGTGTGCATGACTTTAATTATTTTTATGAAATTTTTGTAAAGATTATTAACGCTTAATAGTACCTAAAATAGTAACTAAGCGTAAGAAATTACACTGATTATTGGAAGTGTTGATATCATATGCAATGATGTTATTACACTGATTAAAACATATTATTTTGTTATTACATAATTAAGGTAAACAATTACCATGAGTTGTAAAATATTTTACAACAGCAGCTTTATATTTCATTTCATAAAAACAAGATCAATATAACTTTAAAGTCGCCATTTTCATTGTATGATAAATTCAATTTCTAATAAATTAAATTTATGGTGATCTACGTAGCACAAGCAAAACATTTTAAAGTGATTATTTGTATAGCGATTTAATTGCAACTGAAAAATATTTATTGGTTTGTTCTAAATTAGTAACATGTCGATATTGAATAAATTAACTAAAGCAATAAACGTTTATAAGTTCATAGTTTTTTTAAAGTAAATTATATAAAAAACTAAACCAACGAATATTAAAGAAAACCAGAAGTGCGTATGATATTTTCGCCAATATTTTTGTACGTACAATCTATGTCATATAGCAAATAAGTTACCAGCTGTAGTAATTTAATCATGATCTGTACTCTATGTGTACATGTGTATAATTAAGTTGTTCATTAACTTATTTTTGTATCTTTATTTTGAAATCTATTTTATGAATAAAATATTAATTAATGTTCGACGTACACTTATTTTCTTATTACAAACTCCTTCATATTTTCTAATGTATTTATTGGCCTGTATCATTGATATTGTGTCAAATCAATAAAGGAATGGAAACACGTCACTGGAAATTTTAGTTCAAAACGCACGAAACATGCACCCGGAGACACACCAACAATGACATTTACTGTATTCATGTAACAATAACATGTATCAAGCAGCCATCAAGAAAATATTTTAAAAACCTACTTAGACGAACCTACCTTTCTCTATGTAGGTTAAAAATATTTCCTCGCTAGATCAATAATCAAAATTTCACAAGATTTTTAAGACTTCATTAAATAATGTGCTTGCATTTATTTCGCGCCAAACTTAATGACAATAACAAAAAATGAGAATGCTTTAACTAAAAAGTTATCGGCGAAATAACGCGACGTGACCGTGAGTGCTATATGATATTACTAAACGTTACTAGTATAAAATTTACCAACCGATCGTACTATATTCGCTTCAAAGAGACAAATGATAAGGTTATTATTACAGTGTATTAAAGATCTCCTTAGTCTGGTTTACTATCATTGAATAAATAAACAGGATAAATAAAATTTCGGTGTTGTCAAGGGCTGGTATAAGAATAAAATATTGATTTGTGCATTTTTGATCAAAGGTATTCGCGATGGCTAACATGAAAATAAGAGACAACAATTGTTTTAAATTCTTGATATGATAAATGCGAATATAATAATTAGAGAAAAATTAAAATCGCTCTTCAATCCGTTATTTTAATTGTTTTAACATAAGCGTTCGAGTTGTTATGTCAGCTATGTTATTTTTATTACTTAACGTGCCCAAGCTTAAGGTTAAATGATAAGACTCGAGATAAAGCAAACGAATATTGCATACGTCTATACGTCTTAAAACTTTGAGATATAAATTGTTTTGGAGATAAATAACTGCGATTATTTTTTTTTTCTTCTCGAAACTACGAACATTTCGTTAGTTGATAATTGTTCAAAGGAGTCACTGTTGCCATAGTTTTATCAATTTTACTTTAGAATGGACATATCTTTTAAAGGGAAAAGAGTACTTGTTACCGGAGCTGGTCAAGGTAAGCTGTTTTTTTTTAATTTCCCATTAAAAAAATATGATGATCTATTATCTCTTATTTTTGTCAAACGCTTTATTCAAGGAATATATATCCAGTCTCTATATGCTATAATATTAATGAAGAACAATGTACTGGAGTCTCTCGCTTGGAAATACAAGTTCTGTATAAAGTTTTAACGCAATTTTAGGCATTGGAAGGGGAATAGCGGAACAATTATGGCGTACAGGAGCCAAAGTTGTCGCTATCTCGCGCACGAGATCTTATCTGGAAACTCTTCAGAATGAATATCCATCAATAGACATAGTGGAGTTGGACGTCGCCGACTGGGACAAGACGAGAGAAGTCGTCGAATCTTTGGGTCAGTTTGACGCTCTCGTCAATAATGCTGCAATTGCCGTGTGCCAGCCCTTCCTCGAGTGTACTCCAGAAGTTTTTGAATCGTACGTACTTTTTGAGTTAAAAAAAGTGACGAATTATATAAACCTCATCAATATATCCATTAATATCATTAATTGTTTTCATAGGACTATGAATGTTAACCTTAAGTCAATTATTAACATCAGTCAAGTTGTGGCGAAGAAAATGATCGAGAATAAAACCAAGGGATCAATCGTTAATATCTCTTCGCAAGCCTCAAAGGTAATTCCTATTTAATCTTGAGATTTTGTGGTATAAAATACAAGAAATTAAGTTTATTTTCGAATCAAATTTTAAAAGTAGATTTTATTATAAAATTTAGTAAATAAAAAAAGTTAATTGGACAAATTCAGACATTATTTTAGATTATATTATGGCATATACAAGTGAATGTGACAGATGATATAGGACGAATGATACGGAAAGAGATAAGCAGTCTATAGAATTGCAATCTAAACACACCAATTAGTGTAATTCGAGTGCAACAGCTTCAGTGCGCTAGTGACATATCTACATCGTATTTGTATATAATATCTTTGAATGACGACACCGAAATTTTAAATCGAACAGGCTCGATCTCAGTGTCCCGACCTTGAATAACCAACGAATAATTTATATTCGTTATAAATTGTTCATTGGCTATTCAATGTTTCAAGATCCAAAGACTATTTGGATAATCAAAATATCAAAAATATCATACACCATGTAAACAAGTGAGGTTACAAATGTCAAATCATGATTGTAATTGATATTGATGATATTAAAACGAAAATCTGTGAAAATTTTTAATAATCAGTTAAAAATTGTCTCTGATGGCTGTTACAGTATTTGAATCTTTACTATTTTACCACTTTAGCACTTAACGTTTGTAATTTAAATGCGGCTGACCCGATATATACCGAGATCCCTCTATGACTGTATTTAAAACGAGCGCCTAGAACTTACATACATAGGTATCAACGACATATTTTATGTTAAAATATGTATGTTTGTCTAAACTTTTTTGTCTTGTCTTGTCTTTTCATACTGTCTTTGTCTTGAATTTTAATACTGTGTGATTATACGTTTCATATAAAATGGGACTAAGGTACCTTGAGGCCTTGAAAGGCTTGCGTCCAACAGTAGCCTACTAAGAAAAAACGCCATCATAAAGAATAGTCCCTAGGCAACGCGGAAAGCACGTAACATTTGCATATCCTTACTACCGCTTAACTTGCAGGCTGCCCTCAAAGACCATACAATCTACAGCGCGTCCAAGGCTGGTTTGGACGCTGTGACGCGTGCGATGGCACTGGAACTAGGCCCATACGGAATACGGGTGAACGCGGTAAATCCGACTGTCATCATGACCGCCATGGCCCGCGTAGGCTGGTCGGAACCAGAGAAAGCTAGCGAGATGTTATCGAAAATACCGCTGGGAAGGTAACTTCGGCCAGATGATTTTTTTCCATGTTTGTAATTGATAACAGATTGCGTCCTTTTGGATATAGGTACACCAGAATAAAGATGCAAAAAGTTATAACATTCATATACACAAGAGAAGCGAGTCTGTGTATTTCGCGAGAGATTAAAAAAAAACCTCTTTTTGCATGCAAAATATTAACGCAAAACACGACCTGGTTGGTAGAAGAAAGACGCTTGCGAAAAGTAACTTCGTTTAAACTTTAGAATGTTTAATCTTTTGTTATGTTCGACCTGGAACACGATTCTAATTCTTTCATTTTTGCAGTTGCATTTATAATTAATGAAATCAACGACTGGAGAACACATCAGCTGATAAAATTATCTTTCAGATTTGGTGAAGTTTCGGAGGTGGCCGATGCAGTCCTTTACCTCCTCAGTGACAAGGCGAGTATGATCAACGGAGTGGAGCTGCCAATCGACGGTGGATTTCTTGCCACATAAAATCCATGAATAAAGTTAACAAACTATCTGCACTTGTTTTGGTAACAATATTTGTTACTTTACAATTTATCCAAGGCGTTCCTAAACATTACTTCACGATATCTTGTGAAACAATCTGTAGGACCAATTACAAAAATTTTAAGGTATTCAACTAAGTGTGAAGGCCCTCTAAAACAAAATGTTAGTGAACCTAAAAATAAATGAAGTGCTCATTATATCTAGGCTTGTAAAATGATCCATGTCATAAAAAGTTGAGAAAACATAAAAAGTTTAATAAACACTTTTCGACAACAACATACAATCTTTATTATTGTCACTACCAAAAAGGAAAATGATTGTATATTTTAAATAGTATCTGATCTCTATACTATTATACAGGGTGGCTTTTCTAAGTGTATCCTTTTAATTTTTAATTTTAGACATAAACAATGTTATTTAAAAAAAGATAAATATTTAAAATCACACGTAAGTAATTAATTACATTCATTTGAACTTATCTCAAAAAGTGAATTTATACGCAACTCAATTATTTTACGCGCGATCATTCATAACTAACACGCACACAAGTTCGTGACAGTAAACTACCGCATTGTAAACACGTTCTGTTTTTTAGGGAATAGAATGGCATTTTTTTAAAAGATTGTATTTATTTCAATAAACGATTATACTACCGAGTCCGAACCTCCTGTGTAAATTTGGGCACTTCTCAAAAAATCTCCCTGTATATTAGTAAAGAAAGTTGTGATGATGAAAGTCTAAAATCGGATACCAGTAAAAATCTTAGCCATCTCTCACAGAAGATGGTAAATGATGACCTACATATCTGATCCCGTGACCGAAAACCACCATCAGTAAAGCCATGGGATGAAAGTGACACTCGTTGTTTACATTTCTGCGTAGTTCCCTCCGCAATATCTTCGCTCGTGGATCGTTTTCGCCCATCCTTTCTATCTGAACACGGGTCATGTTGTACTCGAGGTTGCGTGTTTCTTTGATGCAACCGCGCTGGTTCATCCAGCTGACCGCTTTGTTGAACCAGTGACTGCGGTGGAATTCCTCATATCCTAACATACCGCAAAGGGCTACTGTGAAATAAGAAGGTTATTTATTATATCAACACAAATTTACCGCACCTTAAGATACACATACATATATCCGTGGGGTAATAGAACCCACGATATGCGGCGTCAAATACTTTTAGCAGTTTCCACTAAAAATATTAGGATATGCATTTTACACATGTGTCGTAAGAAAATACATTTTGCCTAAACTAGATGTTATCTGTGATATAAGTACTAGTACCCGGAGGACCTAGGACTAGTAACAAATCGACAAAAAATTAAAAATAAAGAAAGCAATGATGTGGAATCGAAAAAAAAGTAAAAAAAAATAAATGTGTAAATGATCGTGACGCGAACCACGGCCGTCTGTTTTGGAGCCGCCCGATTACCGACCGAGCTATTTTGACATTTTCGCTTGCGGCGAAATTTACCGTCATATTCGAATTATATTTTTCATTCCCTGAAAACAGGGATAAAAGGACATTTTCTAAATATGAAACCTAGCTAGATCGATTTTTCGCCCCCGAATCTATGCACATACTAAATTTCATGAAAATCGCTGGTGCCGTTTCCGAGATTCCGATTATATATATATATATATATATATATATATACAAGAATTGATCGTTTAAAGGATAAGAATATCTTTGCTATTTTACTAAAGAATATTTTTAGGCCAGTAAATATACAATTTAATTTAGCACTAAATTACCGAAGTTAACGCAACAAAAGCAACGCCTATTTTACTGGCCTTTGTATTGTATATTTTTTAAGAATGAATATCTTTCTTATAGAATACTCGTAACTTATTATTAGGAACATATATAGAAAATAATATAGGTATCGTCATAAAAATAAGTTATTTTTATCACTGTTTTGTACAGACCTTACCGATGAAACATAATTACAAGAACATAATATAGACATTTTATAAGAAAAATTACTGTGTTCTAAGAAGATATCCCTAGCGAAGAAACCTCGTCGCGCCAAATAAACCGCCTCCCGATACATGAATGCGCACAGCAATTCCATCAGAGACTCGTCTTCCTCCGCACTCCTCAAATAACAGCGACGCACATGTCGACGCAACATTATGTTCAAAAGCCTGTTTAGATCATAATAAAATGTGTCAGGTTTGCAAAACAGATAGGTGCTTCATCTTGAGTTATTGACCTACCATAGAGAGATATGTCATATGGGAACTTTTTTTGACAGTGAAAGCTCACACATTACTGTAGGAATCCGCCAAGAAGTTCGATCTGCCAACCACACTACAGTCTGTTATGTATAGGTTGATACGCGGAACATTAACATTGACATATATGGATCTCATAATTATATCAAGTTCCGTGTATTTTAAACAAAAAATTTACGTAACACAATGCGGTACTTTATTGCGTGATGTCACTTTAGTTTATTAATGTCAATGTCCCGCGTATCATCGTTTAATTAACAAACTGGAATGTCTGATGTAACAATGTAAATACATATTATCTCCAAGGATTTTCACTACCATAGAGGAATATGAGAACTTTTTGACCGTCAAAATTTACGCATTACTATAGGAATTCGCCTAGAAGTTCGATTTGCCAACCACACTAATTTCTGTGTCGCTGTCAATGCATATTATCTCCAAGGATTTTCGTGTACTAAAAACGACTATTTTTCCCACCACGGTTTTTTTTTTGGTTTTCCACCACGGTTAACTGAATGATATCATCAGAAGGGCTCTTGTCTCAGCCAAAGTGCTTTCATTTTCAATGAATACAGCAAAGGACTCGACGGGCTAACTTTGATCCCGTGGGAGAAAATGAGCAAAGCCCTTATTTGCAAGCTTCTTAAGGGCATTTCGGTTAGGGCCAGGATTGTATCAGTAGTAAATGAACTAAGTAAACGTCGCAAATATGTCGCTCGGTCTGGACTATTTTTGCTACATGCTGAAGAAACTTAAGGTCCGTAAGGTTGCATAACAAAATTTATGAACAAGTTGTGTACATATTATACTCACCTGTGACTAAGAGTATAAGAGACCGAAGGCGAAGAGTGCAAGCGTTTAAAGCAGAACTTATCAGGTTTGCACATCTTTAAATCAGACAGATTAATTGGTTCCGGCTCATAGACAACCCGTGATATACACTGATCTGGCCACATGGAATCAAAATTATAAGGCAAGAACTGTTTGTACATAAATTAAAGCTAATTTATCCTTATTTATTTATTGAATACAATATGTAAAAGAGAAAATTGAAAAACTACCATTGACATATTTTACCAATCAACCATAGTGGTTCAAATTTAAATTAAAGATTTGAGAACAAGCCGTCTGTACTTAAAATTTTTAAAGTTATACTTGATGCGCTTGGAAAAAATAAGAAAGGAAATAATTTTACGATGCGCGCACACCAACCCTCAAAAAGCGACATGATCATTGGTAACGAATTCAATCTTGTCAAACAACAACAACTTTTTGAAAGTAATCGACGTATTTATGTGTAATGACTACCGCATTGTCAACAGGTTCTGTTTTTGAAAAAAAAAAGTTTGATTGTATTTCAATAAAAGATTATACTACCGAGTCTAAAACTCCTGTGTGAATTTGGGCACCTTTAGAAAAGCCACCCTGTATATAAGTGAACTGGACAGATGATATAAAACGTAAGATACGGAAAGATAACAGTCTATATAATTGCAATCACACCCATTGGTGTTACCGAAACTGAGGCACTCACCTCAGTTTCGGTTTATCAATATCTACTTCGTATTTTTATTATATAATTATTATTATCGGTCTAAAATAGCATAGGCTCCTTGTAGTTCAAGGTAAGTTAAAAATACCTGAATCATCTGCATTGATATAGTATTCCCTCGGTCTCGTGGTAACTTTTACGTACTTCAATTTCGGAAAAGAAAGCGTATCCATATCTTCAGCGTAGTTGTTCATTTTAAAGTTACTATATAGCCATCGATTCATTCGCCCCTTTTTGAATTCACCAATAGAGTATGTTTGCGCATTATCGTCTTTAAACACTCTGGACACTGAGAAAAGGTTTTATTCCAACAATCCAACAATAAAGCATCAGGCATTAAAAACATCCAATGTCGTGGGAGTTTTTTTAAATAAAAGATAAATAAGAAATAGCTTATTAACACGACACCATTGATCGATATTACATTAATGCTAATATTGCTAACCGCTCATTGTCATGTCTGAACGCGTCCTTATGCCTCATATTTGTTCGCTTTGAAATCAAACTTTAGGTTCTAATATCTTGAATACACCTTTTGTTTTATCATCAAACCCACTCTTATTTATTACATAGCCTAAGAAGAATAACTCTACTTTGTCTTATAAATGAACTAGCGACTCGCCCCGGCTTCGCACGGATGCAATGTATTATACATATAAACCCATATATCATCTTGAATCACTCTACCTAGTACAAAAAAACCGCATCAAGATTCGTTGCGTAGTTTTAAAGATCTAAGCATACATAGAGACAGATAGCGGGACGACTTTGTTTTATACTATGTAGTGATAAGCCTAGGTACTTGTTAAAAAAATATGTATGTCAACAAATTTAGATCGAAAAAAATCAATACTGGCTTGCACAAACACTAAAATATACAATGATCAATTTATTTTTTCCTCATTGCTTCTGGGTCAATAGACATTGAGGTTTTTAAGCAATAATATCCATTATTTTTACAGTTATAAGAATCATTTAGTAAATTACCCACTTCATACAAACAAGGAAGCAATATCATCAGGTGATATAATTTTATTAAGTAAGAAGTTCACCTTACCTCTGAATTCAATATCGTCAAAACCATAAGGATTGTTCTTATAGATGAAATGGGACACGATATTTTCACATTTACTTGTGATGTCTAAAAGTCGAATCTGTTCTCGTCGAGGTAGTTTCACGTTATAATCTTGCACAGTTCGTTTCAGTAAAGCTGAGAAAAGTGGATGTTCTAGATAAAATTAAATGAAGAGTTAAAACGCCATGTAACCTGGTTGTGTTCTTTAGTAAATTCCTTTCTCATCAGGGGAAGTATAATGGCCTCACAAGCACCAGCGTGAAGTGTACCTATCGCACTATTGCGTTTCATGAATGAGGAAATCGAGGCCTACTCTTTTAGTAGTTTGCAACTCATCTCTATGCAAAGAATTACTTAATATCTGTTGGATGAAAATAGTACCAACACCAAAACAACTCATTCCTGCCTGCTAACCATATACTGATTTATTTACAACCAAGTTATTCAAAAGGTTATTTTGATTAGGTATTATTCTTATTTTTGAAATATTTTAACTGACGCTTGGAAGCGTTCCTTATTATCAATACTGGCCATGTTTATATACAAATATCTAGACTTAATATTCTATGTAAAAACATACATTAACTTAAATACGTAGTTTAGGATTTTCATTTTGATTCAAAGACAATGTAGCATTTTGATTATGAGGTTTTTTTTCGAATCTTTATAGCAATTTAAGGGTTTATATGTTACGACAAACAAACGTTAACCGATAAAAATGAAATTATTTAAATTCTCCAATCGGGCCATTCTAATTTTGACTTTAAACTTAATTGAATTTTATATTACCTTTAGTAAAAAACGCTCCCAATGCAACATTACAATCCGTCTTATTAGGATATTTGTTAAAGAAGTGCACAGTGCGCTTTAGGCTTTTTATGTATAGCTTTAGATCATCTACTCTCGGGATAAACTCTTCCGGGAGCAGATATTTAGTGGGAAACTTATCACCGTTATATTGGATTTCTGAAGAATTTCCGCTAACTAAGTATACCGCATCACATTTTAAACACAACAGAAATAGAAGTAATGATTCTTTTCCAACGGCCATATTCTCTCGTAAAGAAACGAAAACCGCGGTGAATGCGCGAAATAGCGGTCCTGTTCAAACTCAATTGGCTTCACGCATCATTTCACACATTTCTTGGAGACGGGCTTTTTAATGACTTGTGTTCGCAACTTTGTTCATCCGTGCAATATGATAAAAATTCTAGGCTAAAACGATCCGCGTTATCGTTAATGAACCCGAGTTCGTAATCTTTTCCATCATATCAAATTGAATTTAGAGTTCCATAACTTTTTAGCCATTAACTTTAACATCAATTTTCAGGAGATCAATTACAAAGTACATGTATAAATTGTCGAATTCTGCGTCTGTTTTCAAAGAGAGTGCTCACATATTGCTCTTATATAATTTATGGTTAGTCTTTTAAATCGTTTAACATTATAATTTTATTTTATTAACTCTATACAAACAAATTAATAATAATATTGTAAAGGCTATTGCGATAACATCGTAAAATAGACGATCCCTATAAATACTATATACACTTTATGATATTACGTACATAAATAATAACATGTTATGTGAAATGATGTGAATCAACACATTTATTCCAACAGAATCTAGTTAACATAAATACATTGCGAAGTGTATTGATTCGTGGTGCGTTATGCGTTCGGCGCCGTATAGCGGCCTTGGGTTTGGTTCCAGTACAGGCTACTGAAATCAGTTTGCCAATGCATAACACTTAGCTAATGGTATCATCTTATCGTACATTTCACACAATCACGACATGCACTGTATACAGTCGTCACACTATATTAAAATAAAATAATCACTGTAATAAAATAATAATTGCTTATTTTGTGCGAATAAAACTCGAAAAGTATTTTAAAAAACCGTATCAATCCTTTTTAGCGCGATTTATATTTTAAACCATGACCATTTCATGCATAACACTAATACCTTTTTTTGCTCATAAAAGAAGATGACCTTATTGACGCTACTCTCTTAAAACACCTCACGAAAAAGGGAGTACTACTAATACTAGCTATCTTCAACGCATGTTTAAAACTGTCCTTCTATCCAAGCCAATGGAAAATAGCACAAGTAGTAATGATACTGAAACCGGGAAAACCAGCTCAAGAAGTGGCATCATATAGACCTATAAGTCTCCTTCCGGTAATTGGAAAGTTAATGGAAAAGATCATATTGAATAGAATGCAAGAACATTTAGCAGATATAATACCAACACATCAATTCGGATTTAGAGAGGGCCACGGAACCATCGAACAAGTGCATCGGTTGGTTGATATCATAGGCAGAGCACTGAAAAACAAACAATATTGCTGCGCTGTCTTCCTAGACATTAGCCAAGCATTTGACAAAGAATGGCATAATGGGCTGCTCTTTAAAATAAAAAAAATGCTACCACACTCTTTTTTTCTGTTGGTGAAATCCTACCTTGAAAATAGATGCTACGAAGTAAGATACAACTCCTACACATCACGATTCTACGAAATCAAGTCAGGAGTTCCACAAGGAAGCATACTGGGACCAGTTCTCTACTTAATATTTACAGCAGATCTACCCATTTATTCCAATACCATCACAGCAACATACGCAGACGATACAGCACTTCTTTCGACTCATGAGAATCCCGATTTTGCATCCGAAATTATACAATCACACCTGATTCTCATAGAATCGTGGTTTCAGCAGTGGCGTATTAAAGCCAATACAGAAAAATCGGTCCAAGTAACTTTCACACTTAGAAAAAAAAACAAGTCCACCTGTGAAACTTTATAATACAGAAATCCCTCAATCAGACGACGCCAAATACTTAGGTATCCATCTAGACCGCCGACTTACTTGGCGTAAACATATATGGACTAAAAGGAAACAACTAGACTGTAAACTCCGCAACATGTACTGGCTCATTGGTCGTAAGTCACAGCTGAGCGATGCTAGTAAAATGGCTATCTATAAAGCAATATTAAAGCCCGTGTGGACTTATGGCATCCAGCTCTAGGAACATCGAAATTCTTGAACGGTTTCAAAGCAAAACAATGAGAGTTATGTTCAACATTCCACCACACATAAGCAATAAATATGTGAACCTAGATTTCAATCTGCGAACTGTGAAGGAAGAAATTGAGTTAAATAGCAAAAATTATCAAGCCAACTTGGACCAACATATCAACGAGTTGGCTGCCAAACTAAAAGAAGTGGGCAGCCCAAGATTCTCCCGTCTTAAGAGAAACAGTATACCAGGACTAGCGACAAGATTCGCAGACAAAAAATGAGGACTGCACCACTGGGTGCATGTCTCAGCTTGATATACATTCACTGATGAAAATCTGACAGCTTATTAGATTATTGTTTGGAAGAAACAGATTGCTAAGTAGCAGGTTATATAAAGAAAAAAAAATAAAAGAAGGAACTTAAATAAAAAAAGGGCAAAAATAAAAAATTAAATCAAAATTCATCTGGACTCAAACCGTGGTCTTCTGGTTTCGGGACCGTTTATAGCCTTGTAGATGGTGGCGAACTTCCTTCCTTCCTTCGTATTCTAATGATATTGTAGCAGTTTTTCATTGCCTGAAATCACGGATAAAACGAAGTTTTCTTATAATGTAAAGTCAAGTATCAGCCTATACACGTCCCACTGCTGGGTAAAGGCCTCCTCTGTACAGAGGGCACCACGCGGCCCCACTGCGGATTGGCGGACTTCAGATATCTTCGGAATATTTTTTTTTATTATTATTTCGAAAATATGCAGGTTTCCTCGCGACATTATAATTATTTCTTATTGACTTATGAGACCTAGCTAAATCGATTTATCGACCCCGAACGTACCGAGCGTACTAAATTCCATGAAAATCGTTGGAACCGTTTCCGAGATTCAGATTATGTATACATAACTAGCTGATCCGGTAAACGTTGTTTTGCCATATATATTACAAGCTATACATCTGGTTCCAATAAATAATTGGGTGGAATTTCGTAAAATCCGTTCTTAGCTGACCTCTACTCGGTGCAAGGAATATTCCTACCAAATTTCAAGTCTACGCCTTATGGTTCCAGAGATATCATAATTAGTCAATTATCGGTGGAAACATAACATTTTTAATTTTACTACCCAGTCATATATTTATATATTTAACGACAATAATTTAAGTTGTTGTGCAATGTTTCATCCCAGTCGGATGGTCGATGGGGGGGCGTATGGCCGTATACGGGACAAATAAAGAATATTCACATTAAATACATATTATAAACAGGTTTATTGTTCATTCAAGTTACGATTCGATTCATGGTGAGCTGCATACCGAATACCGTGCGCCATAACTATTACGACCAGCGCCATAGGGTGATGGTGGCACTCGTCCAACAACTCGTTCCTCAAGTCATTACGCATTTCCTGGGCTTCCTTCACGCTCCTTGCCCTGTGCTCGATCAGGTAACTGGTCTTATTGATTTCGTAGTTTGGATTCTCCTGGACGCAACCCTCATCGTCAATCCAGCTCGAGGCCTTGTTGAACCACTGCCGCCGGTGGAATTCTTCGTAGCCCAATAACGAGCACAATGCAACTGGAGAAAAAAAGATAGTATCCTACACCCAGGCTTACTTCAGTCTAGATAAATCAACCCGAGATGATAACTTTCAGAATATAATCCGTATATAAATAATAATAATTAGCAATCTGTATCTAAATCATAATAATGTCTGAATTTATTGCTGGAATTCATCTTATACACTTTTTGTTTATTTCATTATTTTTTTTTACTTTATATTGCTCATTATTCGATATAAATAAACAAATAGGACATAATATAAGGACAAAATAACTTTACGGTAATCTTAAAATAAATGGATTTACCCCAGGAACCAATTGTTTTATTACATCAGCCTTAGAATGACTTTTTAAACTGTACCCTAAACGCCCCATATTCAACTTGATAACCAAGCAATTACTAGTAGTACTAAAAACAGGATACGGAATCGCAGAAACATTACTGTGTTCCAAAAAAATATCCCTGGCGAAGAAACCGCGGCGCGCCAAATACACGGCTTCCCGATACATGAACGCGCACAAGATATCCATGTGCTTTGCATCCTCTTCGGGACTAGTTAAGTAACAGCGTCGAATCTGATGCCGCATCATTACGTTCAGAAGCCTAAAACACAGATTAGAGTATACAATCTAAATTTATATAACTAGTAATCTAAATTTATCTAACCATACAATCTAACAATACACGAACGTGAAAATTTTTATAGTTTGTAATGACACATATCAAATTGAAGAAATTATCACAATGAAATCTCAAAACCCCATTTAATTTGTTGTGCACGCGGTCACAAGAGTAAAAAGAGGTCTTATTTTTTATTAAAGAAGTAAAATAATTACCTATGGCTAAGTGTATATGCAATGGAGGGCGACGAGTGGAGAACTTCAAAACAATACGGCTCCGATCGACACGGCTGCATTTTTGGCAATTGTGTTGGCTCTGGTGTGTACGGGATATTCGATAGGCAATAATCTAATACGAATTAAGTGTTAATAAATACCATACGAGTATTATAATCAGTAGCATATGCCCACATCGATTTAGTCAAGGAATCAAAATGCATGAAGGCACGCAAGCCGTAGTGGATTTTATAGTAATTTTAGAGAATTAGGAAAAGCTACGTCTCCACGAGCTTTGAATTCAGTATACACAAGCAACTCGAGTTAAAATCCCGGTGCCTATGCCAATGAAATGAATTTATATGCACACATAAGACTGTGCATTGTACGCAGATTTTGTATCGCAATAGGTACGTATTAAGAAATTTTTCCTTGAATATAATATTAATGATGTAGTTTGACCAGTTTGAAACGAACGCTTTAACGAACTAATCTTTTACGTTTTAATGTGGGTATGAAATAATATATCAGCGTTGAACGTAACCCCAAGATATTTGACCTTGTTTACAAATAGTCGGTCGGAAGGAGATAGTTACCCTAACTATCCCTTCTGACTACTTTGGGTGAGTGAACTACATTTTTACTAGGACTACGAAACCAATCGGTAGTTCTTTGGAGGCAGGTTATACGGCCTGCTAGTTTGTCCGTACAGAAGAGTGCAGTGTCCGACTCAAAAAGCGCGAGTTCGATGTATGGCTCCTTCGTAATGTCACTCGTGTAGAATGTAAAATTAGTAATGAAAGACGTGGTCTTGGAAAATAGCCGCACTGCTAGTCATTTGGCATTTTAAAGTCATCGAAGACTAATGAAGTACCATTAGATCGGACGACGGTATCGACTTGTGGGGCCAATAACAGCAGTATAATATTGTTGAACAACGTATTTTCAATAATACTTTTGCGCAAATTTACTTCGTTACTGCTAATTTTACTTTATTGCATAATATTTGTTTAAAGATATTAAACAAAAAGTAAAATTAACCACATAATTCTGATGGTACCAATGGTATATGGATAGGGGAACCTGTTGCGTATATATCAAACTAGCTATTAACCGCAGCCTCGGCCAAAGACAATTAACAATGAGTTTTTTATTATACACTAGAATATCTCGCAAATCGCTGAATTTTTTCCTAGTTAGTTGACACTTATCATTAACGGTGGTAGGGCCACGCAGCAGCCTCGGCTGTTGCACGCATGGGCAGGCTCGTCCGGGTAAGTACCACGACCTCACAGAAGACGGGCGTAAAGTGGAAGTATAATACTTTCGTGTTTCATCGGGTGAGTGAGGTGGCCGGAGCCCAATTTTCTAAAGGTTGTCAACGCATCTGCAATCCTCGGGCTTACCAGATGTCTATGGGCGGCGGTATTCACTTAACATCAGGTGAACCGTCTGCTCGCTTGGCAACTTTTCACATAAAAAAATAAACCTATATTTTGGACAATTCACACAATATCTTTATAAATTATAGCCTATGTGTTATACTGATGTAGATATATGCTATATTATTGTAATGTTTCATTAAAATCTATTCAGTATAAACGCAAAGTAAATTGATGAGAAGTAGAGATGAGAAATTGAACACAAAAATATTTTGAATTTGACTTGACGATACAAGAGCTACGGCATATATTGTCACATAGCAAATTAATCCACTAACTAGTTTTACTACGAATCAAATTCCGAAAATATTTAGCCGGTCGTAGGTATAAAGTAAAGTTAAATTATTACCCGAATCTAATGGATTTACGTAAAATTCATCCGCACGTGCTACAACTTCCACATACTGCTCCTTTGGGAGAGATACATCATCCAATTCTTTAGAATATTCATGGATTGTATAGTTATTGACCAGCCATTGCTTAAATCGACCATTATTGAACGCACTGATTGAATAAAATTGGGGTTTATCGTTAATAAGTAATTCTGAAACTGAGAAAAAATTTATTAATCATTTGTGCTCAAGCTAGATTTAGATTTTGGTTAAATTGGTCGCCTCTCATTGCGATACTTATAATATTTATGCGTATATATAATACTTATGCGTAAATGTAATATATATACAGACTCAAAAATAATTTCGTATTAGATATTTATTTGATGACTCTGTGGCGTAGTTGACAAGGTACTGGCTTCGGCGCCGGGAGACGTGGGTTCGATTCCCACATGGGAAAACTATTTGTGTGACCCACAGATAATACAGTTTCCGATCTGGGTATTTGTCCACGTGAAATATATGTATTATGTAAAACATCCATATAACACAGGATATTGTTATCCTACAGTAAGGGGCAATGATTTTAAAGAAGAAAGAAATATTAATGTCTCAATATTCTACAGGACAAATAACCATATAAATTTGTAAAATATGAACTTACCCTCTAATCACAGACCTTTTTTTTAATTTATTTGTTTAAATCCAAATATTAGAACTTACGTCGATATTCATAATCTTGCCAGCCATATTGTCGGTTAATGTAAATAAAATGTGAAACAATATTTGCACATATTCTTATTACAGCCAAAATTTTATCATAATTTTCTTTTATTATGTTCATTTTGTAGTCCTTTAGGGTTCTTGCCAAAATCACTAAAAATAAATAAATTGATTTTCTTATATTGAGAAGAATAAAAATGAGCCTTATCGTATGAATAACAGTTTTTATATTTACTCGAACATATTATTATAAGAAACATATTATTTTTTTTTACGGATTTATCTCTTTTATTCATAGGCAGTCTGTCCCGTAGCCCTGAAAGCTACTAAACATTCAAAACAACGAGAATAAAATTAAAAAAAGACGATATATACTAAAAATAATTTTACTTGACATTTAATAAATAAATGCTAATGAAAATATATTTGATAAAATAATACGTAATGTATAAGCAGCAGTTGTTATCATAAAAGTACTGAGTCCACATGATTAATGAAAGGATGTAAGGAGGTATGTTGTCCATCGTCTGAAAGAAAAATATCTTCAATTTAAAGTATATGTATTTCGTAATCTTTTAGTCTTTTAATTAACAGCGTAATATTTTTTCGTAAAATGCCGGCCAGCCCGTGGTCTAAATCACTAATTCATTAAATAATAATTAAATAATTGAGTCTAAAACATATAAATTATATCAACGTAAAACAGCTTATCTAAGGTGAGCAACAGCCACCCTATTATCATGCCACATATCATAAATTATGTTAAAGTCCATAATAAAAACCTGTTTAACGTAATCTAATCCTCAAAACTTTCATCCCAAGCATGATAAATCATGAAGAAAAGATAATGTCTATAACATAATTCCTGTAAGATGGCAAAATCGAAAATACTAATTATAATTTAACATACCTTTCACATAGAACGTTGCAATCGCTACGTTAGAATCTGTGAAATTTGGTGATTTATTGAAATAAATTATGGTACGTTCTAAATTATCTAAATATACTTGTAAATCAGAAATGTTCGGTCGTATTATTTCAGGTAATAAATAACTTTCAGGAAATTTCTCCCCATGGTATTCGTTTTTTGATTGGGTTGTTTGTACGGAAAGATTATTAACAGGGTCACTTAAAATATTATTTATGTGCAAGAACGGCAGCAACGCTGATAGTATCATGTTTATGGCATAAAAAAAATAGTTCCTTCAGCGTGAATAATCAGATAAAATGAAGCACGTGTTTATGAAATTACCGTGTTGTTTAACTTCTTTCCATGAAATTTGTATTGTGTAGTTCGCGATTGAGTAATAGAAAAGATATATATCTCTCCTGAAAAAGCTAATATATCAGTAGCTCATTTCATATAAAACTATATCTTTATAGACATGGTTCATTTTCCTTTATTAAGTACGTCACTGAACAAGTGAACAATTGACAACCTTTCAACTCAGTAACTCGGAGAGAGATATAAAAACTGCGTACTCGTGTGAAAGAAAGAGATGAATAATACAAATCAAATGCGTTAGATTGGAATCGAACCCACGTCTTCCGGATTCCTTTTCTTTTTATTTTTTTCTCTCAGGGATGCTTAAGAATTTAAATTATAAATCGCTCTTTTGCAAAATAAATATTCTTTCCAATTGCATTTGGCTGCATTCCCCAAAAGCAAAATACCATATGACATTATGCTATGGAAATAACTAAAATAAATAATTTTAGCTGTTCTTGCATCAGTCAGTCATATTATTTTCCTTATACTATATGCTGCAGAACTTAGTCTACTAGTTAATTTGGATATTATGGGGGCACCATTGAAGCGTTGCATCAAGAGTTATTCCAACTCAAGAAAAACAGTCGTATCCACAAGGCTTACTCCTCCTTGTTTATTTGAATAACTATGGGTGGTAACAGTGTACTTAACACTGTTACCACCCATAGTTATTCAAATCAAAATTCCCAAAATTCTATCTTATTTAAAGTTATTTTAGGTAATAGATAACAGTCGATCCATATCCCGTACATACCAGAGACTTTCCTAGAACCTCTAAGGTAACACTAGATAAAAACTCAGATTACCCCTGTAACTAATAAGGCCTGGCACCCCTCACACAAGCGTCTAGAAAAATGTCACTAAGAAATAAATTTCATTTATACGAACCATTTACAGTTCCCATAACGCCATAATCAACGTGTCTATTTCGCGCATATTCCCGTCGATCACTTGCGGTTCAAAACAAATTTCTTCTCTTCTTTGTGCCAGGCGGAAAACCTAATTGCATCGAGACCTAAAATCACTAACTTATTCACATTCTTTAAAGAAGCCTGGATAAGACACTTGAATAGAATACATACCAAAACAAGTCCGTTTGTAAAAGACGTATTCAGTATCTATCCCGCATATCTTGCGATAGGCGACCAAGGTGCATCCAAGACAGCGTAGTTCCTTAAATTTTTAGACTACTATTCCGACTAATTACCCACAGCCCTTAGCGTGGCACACACCGCATACACTACCTTACACATTACCAGGGTCCCAGGGCGGATCCAGTATATCCAATGTTTTTATATATTTTTGCCACAATATAGATTTTATCTAAGTACCTTCAATATTAAATTAAATTAATATAATATTTTTAACCGACTTCAAAAGGAGGAGTTTCTCAATTCGATTGGTATATTTTTTTTCGATGTATGTACACCGATTACGTTGAGATTTATGATCCGATTTACGTGATTCTTCTTTATTTTAATGCAGAATAGTTGTCATTTGGTCCCATAAAAATTAACCATAGTTTGGCCAAGTAGTTTTCATTTTATGAACATTATTACAATATTTTAATGTTAAATCATCAAATCAAATCTTGCAAATTAAATTTGATTTACTTCCCGCTTACCGGTTGAGCTGAAATTTTGTATACATGTGTAAATCACGAGACAATGCAATATTTTTATGACATGGTGCTGACCTGATGATGGAGCTGGAAGGTGGCCAAAGGAACTTCGCAATGAAACGTCAGAGCCTCATCGCGTTTGGGTACATTTGAATCATATTGACGAGTAGTTTGTCTTTCATTCGTAACCAGGATCTGATGATGGAGCTCCATCTTCAGCCGTCCATGCATATGCATAGGGTTGCAGGTGCGTTTTCTCCTTATAATAAGTAAGAGAAAACGTATCTCGTGAGTGAGGTACTCACCAGACAAATAGCAGAAGTACTTTACGCCGATCTTCTGTGAGGTCTATGAGGTTATTCTGTGAGGTTCCTAAGACTACTCTCTAATGAAACCACTCAACCCCATCTAGTTTCGGGTCGTTTGATTCGTCTTGGCGAGTACTTAATTTTTAGATGGTTACCAGGGTCTGATCTGATGATGGAGCTGGAAGATAGTCATATGAACTCAGTAAAGAAACGACGCAACCCGTTATTATATTGCGTCTCGTCTCGTTTGATTCGTCATGACGAGTTCTTTAGTACTAGATGGTAACCAGGGTCTGATGACAGAGCTGGAATGTGGCCGTAGGAACTCAGTAATTAAGGAACACAACTGCGTCGAGTTTGATTCGTCTTAATGGGTGGACCGTTTTTGATGGGCGGTGAGATGTGGTGGTTTAGTGGACATCTTACAGGAATTATGTTATAGACATTATCTTTTCTTCATGATTTATCATGCTTGGGATGAAAGTTTTGAGGATTAGATTACGTTAAACAGGTTTTTATTATGGACTTTAACATAATTTATGTTATGTGGCATTATAATAGGGTGGCTGTTGCTCACCTTAGATAAGCTGTTTTACGTTGATATAATTTATATGTTTTAGACGCAATTAAATAATGAATTAGTGATTTAGACCACTGGCTGGCCGGAGCGGACAGCGCCATGGTGTCGTGGTCGTGCACCAGCTACGTTGTTCTCCCGAGGGACCGAGTTATCATCTGCCCGCGGACCTCTTCCGCCGAAGCTATTAAAGCCGCTGGACTGACAGCAAAGTACACTTACAAAAAAAACAATTAGGATATATAAAATATAATTAGACCGAAATATCTTTAATTCCAGACTTCCTTTAATATAAATTTGTATGTATAATATATTCAGAACATTAAATTCTATATTTTACATATTTTTCGTCCTAAGACGCAAAAAAAAATTTGTTCAACAAATATGGGAGTTCATCATATATGGGAGCCATTGTCCTTTATTTTATCTATGCATCCCATTTTGACAATAAACTACCAGTATTCAATCAATGTATCAATAATAATAAAATATAACCACTAGCCACTACGTTTAAGCATACGTGCAATGCACGGCATGGAATCTTAGAACAAAAAAATGACACCGTATTGAGACCATAAACAAACGGTAGTATTCTAGAATATGACATTTCTTTTTTTTTTTTTTACTTATTGTACTAAGGCTACTCGAACAGTATTAAGACGATGATAGATAAAAAGATATTTATTATGATTTATTAATGTTCACTCGGAGAATGTTAATTGTGAAGAAACTTCAGGAGAAATAATATTAAAATTTAAAAAAAACTTTTTAAACCTAAACCAAAGTAAAAACTCGTCTCGGAAAGATTCCGAAAATATTCAATCGGCTAAACAGAATAGCTTATCATACACTCTCGTGCATTCAATGCGGGATGAGTTGTGAAAAAATGTTTGAGTAAATTCAGCTGTCTGAAATGTAAAAACTGTTTGTCAAAATAATGTATCTTCTATCCACAAATGGATTTCTCTCAGAGAATATAAAGAACTTAAAAATAAACAAAAACTAACCTATCCCTCAGAATTTGCTGTTACGCTTTTTTCTTATATTGTCAAAGAGACAAACGAATATTTAGAATTGAACATAAATGCGAACGCGAACTAAATTTCAAAAGAAGTACTAATAAAATAAAATTTAAATATTAATTTGATTTCTTATCATCTGAACATTACAAAGAGACTCTGCTTCGTTATTTTGTTTCCATCACAATCAAATTATCTGAGATTAACTGGTGTTGTATCAAAAATAAAATTTTAAAAGTAATTGATTTAATGCGTCTCAACGATCGTTTACCGCCTATGCAAAGTAAAGCACTTGAAAATAAAGAAAATAGTTAAAAAAGAAAAGATTGAATAAATAGTATAAATGCAGTTTTATTTTAAAATCCTAATGACAATCATCATTATTTTTATTTGGGATGCAACTTGTGTAGACACTTTGGCTGCCTCTCATTTAAGGGGTACTTCGGTCAGGGCCAGGGCGGCATCGGAGGCAGCTGAAGTAAGTAGGATAGCAACAAAATGTAAACATACATAAACTTTGTTCAGGCTTGGTTGTAAGTTTGGACAAACATTTCTTGGAAGATAAACAAAATGACATCTGATCATATTAACATGGAGTTTTTCCTATGGTTTAAGGTAATATAGAATGTAATATAGTTTTATTTATATATTCAATTTATGTATTTACAAAAACAAATTTTCATGCATAGATAATAATAAATATATATAATAAGATATACATAAACTAATATGTAAAAAGTATAATGGTGGTAGGGCCACGCAAGCAGCCTCAGCTGTTGCACGAAGGCTTACGGGTAAGTACCACAACCTCACAGAAGACCGGCGTAAAATGGAAGTATAATATTTTCGCGTTTTGTCTGGTGAGTGTGGTGGCCGGAGCCTCAATTTTCAGATGTCAACGCATCAGGAACCCCTATGGGCTTTATATTCACAACATCAGGTGAACCGTCTGATATAAAAGAAAAAAAAATACATTCTATTTTTACAGGTATGGAAGGATCATTGGCTCAACTCTATATGAAGTTGCTCACTGCAAAAGTAAAATTGGTTCTCTTCTGATTAAAATTATGGAGGTACCATGAAAGTTTACTTCCATTGCAATAGCTAGAGGGACAAAACTTGAAAAATTTTGGGCACAAAATGCTTAAAATGTTATTCAGCAGAAGAAAACATTGCAATTTTCTGTGTAGTTAGGCTAAATTTTGAAAAAGTAGATGTGTATTATGTGCCATTTGATTGCAGCATCATATCTGTTTTGGATGCTGCAATGAAGTTCTGTGTAGATGCTGTATTCCCAAAATTAAAGGTTTATAATAACATTTAACCATAACTCTTAAATTTTCTTAAACATTTTTGATAAATAATTAAAATAAAACCCTGTTTATTTAACACAGTTTTTTTATTCTATTTTAATTAAGGCTGATTGTAAATTGACAAGCACAACAAATGATCATAGCATAGTCTACATTGGGTATTAAATAAATGATCAACACAGGCGTGTGGCTTTGGAAAATCAAACACACGCAGTCTTCTGATCTCTCTTTCAATGTGAAAAAAGGTTTGCAATTTGTTTCGACCTTAAAACATCCTTCTTCGCACTTTAACTATTTGGGAAATTCGTTGAAGCCGATGAACACATAGGTACGAAACACGCATCAACACGGATTTTTTTTCGGAACATTGGTGGTATTGTTATGATTACCTGATGTTGACTCATTGTATTATTTGTTGTTAATTTTATTTATTTATTGTATTTTGAGGTATTTATTTAAAAGCATAATAATAAATTTCTAAAAAGTCAAAACTTATGCCATGAAAGAGAGACAAATTATATTATATGGCAAGTTGGTAAGGCAAGTGACAGGTAGGAGATCGCAATTGTAGATGCGTTGTCGCGCGAAAATTTAAACCATCAATTTGAAATCGATATTTCAAAATAATAATAAATAAATAACGAATAAATTACAGTATTTTAATTTTTTTAATATACTAGTGGTCTATTCTTCATGAAATCCATTCAAATAAAACCAGAAATGAAAATATTGCATCTTCTTCCTCCTATTTGGCCTCTTAGACGGTTTGCTTTTGCCTAAAAAAAAAAATATGAAAATAAAAAAATAACACATGTCAAATTCTAAGTTACCGTGCTCTATTGGTTCATTCGTTGTATGAAGATTCCCGTCTGATGCATACCTATCATCTTAGTAGTCTGTGGTGCAATGTATAGTCTATTCCAATATTTGTAGTTTACGTTATAAATGTCAAATAATATTTTTGGCGTTTTTCTTCCAATTGTATTTCAGCTAACATATTGTAGTTGCTTCCGTGAAGTTTAATTTTAGGTTTTTAAGTAATTTATTCATAAAGGTAAAAATGGAAATTTCTTTTAAAGGAAAGCGTATACTTGTTACCGGTGCTGGACAAGGTTAGTATATCTATTATAAATAAGAAATAATAATTATTGTTCCGACTCCTTATACCGCTTTCCACAAGGCTTTATAGCACGGATTTCTATAATGGTTTTACAGGAATTGGCCGAGGTATTGCAGTTGAGTTGTGGCGAGCTGGGGCAAACATAGTAGCTCTTTCGAGAACTAGGGTCCATTTAGAAACCTTACAAAGTGAATACCCCTCTATCGATATCGTAGATGTTGACTTATCTGATTGGGAAAAAACTCGAGCTGTTGTTGAATCTCTAGGACATTTTGATGCATTGGTCAACAATGCGGCAATAGCTATATGTGAACCATTTCTTAGCTGCACCCCTGGTGACTTTGACAAGTAAGTTGGAAAATATCCCCTTTATCTTTATTTATTCGTAAAAATAAAAGATAAATTCATCTGACAACCTGATTGGTGTAGTGGATAGAAAACTTGCTTCTGGCGCCAGAGGATGTGGGTTCGATCCCCACTACTGGAAAAATATTGTGTGATGAATATAGTATTTTTCCAGTGCCTGGGTCTTTATAATGATATATATAATATGTATTTATTTACAAAAGAAATGTATGTTTAAGTATGTTTATCACTTATACTAGTACCTATAGTAAAACACTGCCTAGTTTGAGACTAGAGAATGTTGTGTAAAATTTGTTTGTTTATTTATCTTGCAGAACTTTTGATATAAATGTAAAAGCTGTTCTCAACATTAGCCAAGTGGTTGCTCGTAAAATGGTAGAAAATAAGACCCCTGGTGTTATTGTAAATATATCTTCTCAAGCTTCCAAGGTGAGTTTTTTCAAAGATCCTTAAATGTGACTCCTAATGACTATGCTAGAGCAGTACATTGATTAGGAGTCTAACTACACCATGCTGAAAAGCTTCAGCGTCAGCCACACAAATAGGGCTATTTTACAAGTTCCATAACCAAAAGAAGACAATGCTGAAAATATATATTTGCGTTTTGCTCTATCTTTGTGGATGGCAACACTTAGAAAATGTCTAATTTTGTGTGTCCATGGTCAATAGCCATCACTTTACATCAGTAAATGGTGACCTGATGGTGAATGGCTAATTCAGTTGTCATCCATTGACATCTTATGATATGTTAATAAAGTTGTCAAAGTAATCAACAAAACTTTAAAATATATATATAAATATTTATGTTAGTAGAAAACCTTATAATATTTAAATCTATAAAATGTAATTTCTATACCATTGAAGAGAAAAATAAAAATTTTCCTATTCAAAACTGTCTAAAACTTATTCTTAATAACTTATTTAATATTTCTGGATATATGCCAAACCTTTGTACTCTTTAAGATTTTACAAAGTTTGCACAGAAACAACATGACTTAATGCATTCAGCATGTACACAATACATATTGCTTGCCTTGATTGTTCCTTATTTGCTAATTTTTCCATCATAGTACAAGGCAAACTTTAAATTTATAATAAGCTACCTTACTTAGGTTACTTTATGACATTATATAATAAATATTTATGCTGAATTGCTGACATACAACATATTCTGATCAATTTTTACATGTGCAAGTGTACCATTTTTTAAGAATATAATATGCACACAGTTTATTTAATTTCTAACATTTAGCTGTACCACAATCATTAAAAATTATTATGTACTGCAAAACAGCAAGAACTTTTCATATAACTCGTTATCAGTGCTCTACTTTTGAAACACTCAGTTCAATGATTTGTATTCTGTAAAGTATTTGTAATAACAAATTAGTTTCCTTTGTAATTTCTAATTTCAAGGCATTTCAACAATTAGTATAGATATGAATTTGGTTGTTTTTAGTAGACTTAAGATTAATATAGAATTAATAGAGATCTTTTATAAAGCGTAAAATATGACACATATTGCCGAAATGTGGCATAAGAGCTGCCATAAGTAATCAGACAATAAATAATATGCCATTGATAAAATTCAAATATGAAATTTCAGTTATATATACGTCTCTTAAAATAAATAAGTTAAATAATATTGTTAAAAAATCGATCCAGATAACATTAATAGAAATTATTTTTTTTTTATACCTACACTATAAAAAAATAATAATTTCTATTAATGCTAATGACTATTAATTCTTTTCTTATGAAATTACCATTTTATACAAAATATTAAATGTTTCATATACTACAAGTTTAAATGAAGTTGATAAATAATCAAATAGTCTCTGCAATTGAGATTCTCTGAACTAGAATTCTTTAGACTTTTAATACCGCCTAATCAGATTTGCAAAATCTGGTGTGCAGTTGTAATTCATTTAGTTTTTATACAGTTTTTTGTGCGATGTGTGGAAGAGAGTAATTCTCGTAAAGGCGTAAACTGCTTTCGACTTAGTATTTTGTTATCAATTTGCATTGTTATCTGTTGTTTACATTGCTCGAAACTACTCACTACTCTGTATTTGCAGGCAGCCTTGAAAGATCATGCGATATACAGCGCGTCCAAAGCCGCCCTAGACGCGCTCACACGCGCCATGGCTCTCGAATTGGGCCCTCACGGTATTAGAGTGAATGCCGTCAACCCAACTGTTATAATGACCGCTATGGCAAAAGTGGGATGGGCAGATCCTAAAAAAGCAGCTGAAATGAAATCCAAAATACCGCTGGGAAGGTAAATAATGCGACTAATTACAAATTTTAACTGTGGTAGGGCCACACGGCAATTTCTGCTCTTGCACCAATAGGCAGGCGCTTCTAAAGAAGAACCACGGTCTCACAGAAGACCGGCGTGAAATAGATTTACTATACTATACTTTCGCGTTTCATTTTGTGAGTGAGGTAACCGGACCCCACCTTTTTCGAGGGTTGGTAGCGCATCTGCAACTGGGGTGTTGCACATGTCCATTAACACTTAACATCAAGTAAACCACTTGTATATATGTATATGGGAATGGGGCTTTTCGCGTTATTTTCAGCCTAATCTCATCAAGTTTAACTTTAATTAATTAGTCCTAAATGAATGACCACTTCTGCCCTAAAATGTCAACAAAATTCAAAATTTTAATTAGCCCTTATTATTTATTGAATGAAACTATTTTTACATTTTTACGAATTTATCGCGTGCGTTTTTAATTTAAATTTTCAACGTTTCCAATACCTTACAGCATAATAGCCCTTATAAAATGAAACTTGTTCATTAGTTACACAATCGCGAGCAATCAAATCAACTCAGCCCATACCATGAGGTACACCTCAATTAAGATGCCCTTCGAGCAAATCGTAAGCACGCTTGCCGTTGGTCTGTAGTTAATTACGGAGCCGTTGGGCAGTTTAGAGTTACGTTTTAGAGTAAGATTCTTCCCTAAAGCATCCTTTTTTTATGTGAGAAGTTGGCGAGTGAGCTGGCAGTATAATACGTATTTATTTGTTAATGCGTGTATGCGCCTGACATAATCAATTAGCAATTTTCATGCTAATAAATTATGTTAGACCCATAGGCTTAATAATATGGGGGTCTTGCGAAAGAAGACATGAATTTTTCTACTGTACATCAAATCGACAGTTTGCTCTCGCAAACACTAAGGATCACATCTTCCTGCTTCCAGGTTTGGTGAAATTTCGGAAGTGGTGAATGCAGTAGTTTTCCTGCTTAGTGAGCGCTCAAGTATGATCAATGGAGTTGAGTTGCCAATCGATGGAGGATTTCTTGCCACATAGTTTACTAAGACCAACATATGACATGCTTTTGTAATACATTGAAAAGTTTCTACTCCAAACTAAAAAGACGTGACTTTCATATTTAAGAGACATTCAGTTTCAAGTTCTAAGATCTGTTATTTCAATTTATTTTGTTACTTTAAGTACCAAAGAATATATATAATTTTATGTCCTAACAAACCACTTTTTTTGGAGCAGAATTTGTATATATTGTAATTAATGTTTGACTTTGTGTAATATAAATATAAAGTATCATGTCATTGTTTTCTACAAAGTCATAGACAATTGATGGAATTTTATAATTTGGTATTTGTATTGTGTTCAAGTGTGTAGAGTTCATGCATTGTTGGTGATTTGTTTTGTTAAAAATACATGTTTTTTTTATGGTTATTGTTTGGCAAATTGATAGTACTGAATTTACAATAATAAAAAAACTGACTTCATTTTCGGTAACAAATCTAACAACATTTCGCACAGAGCACATCAAGTTCTTTCTGGTGAACCACTAACAACATTTTCAACCCAATATATAAAATGTACAAATCGCTGACATATTTGCTCATGTTTATGATAAATTTAATTTAATTGAACACTTATAATTATTACGCTATTAAATTGAGAATAAAGAATAACTATGCCATTGTATAAATGCCATATTGCTTAATCAATAAGTTTGTTGTGATTAAAGGCGTTTTGTTTAAATTGATCGTTTTTTATTTTCCACACGGTTAATGAAACTGAAGAATATCAAACACATGAATAGTTCATAATATGTGTTTATTAACTAATATATTGATTGAACAACTGTTAATAAATAAATCATCATAAATTAAATATTGTAACAGTATATGGGAAAATTAAAACAAATAATATAGTACATTTGTGATAAGAGTCCGGCCGATTTATTCCTATTTTGAAGTGCTAACTGTTTTATTACCTTTTTAAAGTCCCATACCCAAAGGCTAAAATGGGACCCTATGCTATTACCAGCTATTAATAAGACACAAGACTCCGCTGGCTGTATGTATGTCTGTCACCAGGCTGTATTAGGGATGTCGAAAAAATATCGATATTTTTATTTTAAATATCATATTTGGATCCGCTATATCGATATAAAAATCATATCAAAACGATATTCTTTCAAATTCTAATCTGCCACAGTCCATAGATGCCGAATATTTTATACTTGATATACCCTTTTTTTTGCACAACTGGTCCTAAACAGAAAATAACGATATTTTCTCTTCGATATGAGGTCGATATTGATATTTTTATAACTGTCGATATATTTTTCCCTTCTTCCCTAGGCTGTATGAAGCGTGATAGGTATACAATTGAAATTTTCGCAGATAAATAAATAAATACTTAAGGACACATTTTTACACAACATTCTCTAGTCCCAAACTAAGCAAAGCTTGTACTATGGGTACTAGAAAACTGATAAACATACTTAAACATACTTTTCTTTTTTTTGTAAATAAATACATATTATACATATATAAACACCCAGACACTAGAAAAACACTATGTTCATCACACAATATTTTTCCAGTAGTGGGGATCGAACCCACACCCTCTGGCACAGGAGGCAGTTACACTACCCACTACGCCATTTGGGTCGTCAAAAGATGATGTATTTCTGTTCTGAAAAAGATGATGTATTTCTGTTCTGTTGCCGCTATAACATCAAATACTGAAAAATAGAATCAAAAAATATTTAAGTGGGCTCCCATACGATTTTTTTGCCGTTTTTATAGATAACTACCTGCCCGCGACTACGTCTGCGTAGAATAGTCTGAAGGTGTAACATTCAGACAGATTTACATAAAAATATGTATATAAATTATAGCCTATGTGTTATTCAGATATATAAGCTATATTATTATAAAGTTTAAAATCAATTCAGTGGTATTTGCGTTAAAGAGTAACAAACATCCATCCATACGTATAATACCTTGGCCTTTAAAATATTAGTAAGGATGGTACGGAACCCTTCGTGCGCGAGTCCGACTCGCACTTGCGACAGTTTTTTTTTCATTTAAGGATACATGTGGAGCATGCAGAGTATCTAGTAATATTAAACACGAAACCAGAGTTACGTTAATAAATTATCGAAATTGACTCGAATTCTGTACTCTAAAATTAATACCGATATATGCCCATGCCTATAAGGGGACCCCGGCTACCTCACTCACCAGACGAAACGCAAAAGTATATTGCTAATTAATGCTTCCACTTCACGCCGGTGTTCTGTGAGGTGGTGGTACTTCCGGACGGAACTGCCCATTTTTAAAAACATTAATATTTTTCACTATAATATCTCGGTATATCCTTCGGCTTCAGAGGCTGGCGTTATTTCGAACAATACCACGGAAAAAAAATATCTTGAACACTTCCCGCTGCCCATACAATTCATTTGCAAAAAGATTAGTTCTCATAAATAACTAAAAACTTGGATCCAAATCATGATTATGCTGGCACAGGAACAGTTTAGATATACGACTATACCCACTATCATTGATTATCAGTCATAATAATCGTTTTATAAGTATTGTGCCTTCCACCCTGATTATATGTAGATAAGAAAGTTTATATTTAGATAAGTTGCAAACATTTTTCATAGTGGACACGACATCATAAGGAAATGGACAAGTATTTCGAAGAAAAAAGGATTTTGGTTACGGGTGGTTGTTCAGGTGAGTATTAAAAGGATAACATTTTATTAATACATGAATAAATAATTAAATGCTTAATTCAAAGGTTACGACCACCACGATTGTATACAATTAATTTATAGTTTTATTATGATTTTTTTTAAATGGTTCGGCAATGAACATTTATCTACAATTTACGTATAACTATAAAGAACTACTTACATACATAATTATCAATAGTAAATTACGCATTTTGTGGCAGGGATCGGAAGAGGTGTTGTTTTAGAATTGTGGAGACTTGGCGCCAATGTGGTAGCTCTGTCGCATCAATCCGAGAACCTTTGCAAACTTAAAAGCGAGTACCCATCAATCGAAACGGCCTGTGTTGACGTCCGCGACTGGGATGAGACCCGTAAGGTCGTTGATTCATTGGGTGTTTTCCACGGACTGGTTAATTGTGCGGGAGTTGGACTTATGGAGCCTTTCCTAGAATGTAAACCGACGACTTTTGATGAGTGAGCATTTAATTACGGTTATTATTTGCTTAATTGTAACTTATGAACGATATGTTTAAATTCAAGGAAAATCTTTTTAATTACTTTGCAGATCCATTTCAATCAATACAAAATCTATACTCAATATAACTCAAGTAGTTGCGAAAAAAATGATTGATAATAAAATAAGAGGCTCTATCGTCAATATATCTTCACAGGCATCAAAGGTAAGAACATGTCAAACGTATGGCACGTTTGACATTTTTTAAGTTATTAATAAAGGTTTCCGTTGCTTATTGACTTGAAATTATTTATCAAGTCTTATTTGCTAACTTTTATAGCATTTGCAACGCTCGCACTGTAAACTTGGTTGGCGAGCTTGACCTTCATTCTAAAAATGTTTTTTGCAACGATATTAAATACAAATACGAGGTAGATATGACACTAGCGCGACGAAACTGTGGCACTAAAATTACACCAATTGGTGTAATTAGATTGCAGTTCTATGCACTGCTGTTTCTTTCCGTACCATACGTCCTATGTAAAGCGGAACAATTTTTAAACGTCGCGCAATATGCACATTCTGTTTTAGATTGAAATTTGTTTCGGAGTACCCGTATGTCCATAAAACATGCTATCTCTGAATCCTTGGGGATAGCATGTTTCTCTGTTTAAATATTGTTTTTAGCGCCTCCAGCTGTATAATGCAACCAAGTAACTTTAACGACGCAAAGTTATATGAACCATCATATGTCATAGAAACGAAGTCAATATTAGAATAACACAACACCGATCAAATTTTACTTTACTTTTTGTTCCCTTTTCAACGAGTTGCTTAAAAATGCTTCAAAGGTACTAACTTATAGGGGTGATTTAAAACAAGATACAAACAGAGAGTTGACGTATTAGCAGGCTGTTTAACGGATTTAGTCCCAATCATTGACGTAGGTACTCTAAAATTATTGAAAATGAAATTATATATAATAAAGCACTTCTTCTGTACCCTAATAAAATGTAAGTGTGACTGTATGTACTTTATCTACGTCAATATTTATTTGGAAACGCAAAGATATTATAATTCATTAAATAATTATTAACGCGCCCGAAGATAAGCCATGCCATGACAACGTCCCAATTGCGGCGTCGTCTTTAATTCGCGTTAGGCAATGGCGGTAGTTAATCTAAACAACTTGGGCGTGTTTGCCGAAGTTTTTTGAGGCTGATGTGTTGAAAACTGTTTTAGACATACGTGAGGACGGCCAGCTCAGTCAGTATTATGTCTCAAAACAATGGTCGTGGTATATGGTATTGTTGCTGTAATAAGAAACAACGAATGCTTTCGGTGTATATTGAAAGCCTGCACCTCTGTAGACACAGTTCGTTTTATTATATAACTAGCGACCCGCACCGGCTTCGCACGGGTGCAATGTATTATACATATAAACCTTCCTCTTGAATCACTCTAGTAAAAACGCATTAAGATCCGTTGCGTAGTTTTAAAGATATAAGCATACATATGGACAGACAGACAGCTCGACGACTTTGTTTTATACTATGTAGTGATTATAACATTTCCAATCTTCTTTACTCCAATGAAACACAATATTCGTTTACTAGAAATAAATAAGATAAATAGATAGTTATTAATTGGACGTTTTGAAAATCGAAGACATAGAAAGAGTTAAAAATAAGTTTTGATATAAAATTTAAAATTGTTTCTAAAATTGCCTACCAGTGCAATGAAAGTAGAGCTGTAAGAATCCCTAGTAGCACAAATTAAGCCTCGTTATACAAACGCTTTATGGTTTGAAACATGACTAATGAATAATTGAGATTAATATGAATGAATTTATATTTATTTCAATTTTCATTTTTACATCATGCCTGTGGACAAATTCTTTAGAGCGGTAGTCTATAATATAACAAAACAATTACTGTGGAATAACGCACATAAGTTTTCATTACAGGCGGGATTTAGGAATCACGTAGCTTACTGCGCGTCAAAAGGTGCAGTGGACGCTATGACTCGGGTAATGGCTGTAGAACTTGGATCTCACGGTGTTCGCGCCAATACTGTAAACCCAACGGTCGTTCTGACCGACTTAGGCCGAGAGGTTTGGGCGGACCCTAATAAAGCTCAAGAAATGATGTCGAAAATTCCACTAGGACGGTAAAGTATAATCAATCTTTTATTTATTATATTATGAATATTATTAATTATATTATATACTACCTGGTGACCGCGATTACGTCTGCGCAGTGTTAGGCTGAAGGCGTAACATTCAGACAGAAAGACAGATAGCTATACATCAAATATGTATATAAATTATAGCCTATGTGTTATTCCGATGTATAAGCTATATTATGGTAGTTTCATTACAATCCATTCAGTAGTATTTGCGTGAAAGAGTTAACAAGCATCCATCCATACATACAAACTTTCGCGTTTTTTAATATTAGTAAGGATATTATTTTATTAGTTAGGTAAAAGTAACGACAATGTAATGAAAACATTAGTTAATTAAATATTTTAAGACTACAAGATCAACACCCCCTTGTCTATTATACCTCATGCTAGCTGTAAAGAAAATTTGGAATCTCTAATGTAAATGATTAACCTTGAAATTAAGATGAGTTTCCAAAATAGTTTCAAAAAGAGGCGGTGGTTTCGTTCAAACTCGGAAAATTTTCAAAATAATTTTTAATTAAACAATCTGTTTCAGATTTTGCGAAGTCCATGAAGTTGTGAGTGCAATAATATTCTTACTCAGTGACAAAGCTAGCATGATTAACGGAGTTCAACTGCCTATCGACGGGGGATTTCTCGCTACATGAAGAAACGAGGAGAAAATAAAACCGATGAAATAAATATCACACGCTTTTTGTTTTACTCGGTTTATTGTGCCAAAGGAATTAATACATACTGGACATAGAAAACAATGCAAGCATTAACAATTTATATAATAGAAGCATAATTATATGCTAAGCTATAATTGCCAGCACAGTTTTACAAAGAAACACATTCATATTATAATGTAAATCAATGTTGGTACCATACTAGAATAATAAGTCACATTTTTAGGATAATTCACTCAATATCTGGAGGGAACAAGCGCATCCCCGCATCCTTAAATATACAAGTATTTATAAATCCAATATTAGAAGCTGTAACCATTTCTATCCATTATCCTACATCTAATGTTTTGATTCGTTCCCCCCGTCTCAACAATGAGTAAAACACTTCAAACGATCGATTTATTTCGGATATCGATATATACCGGATGTACACCAAAGTTCTGCTACATAAAACGGAGGCAATCAAACAAGTTCGCGAAGAAAATAGCCAAATAATGACTATACTCTACAACAGTTATGTATTTATTATCTAGTATATTGTAAAAAACAGTGTGTCGGCTTAACTAACTTACAATTATTATATACAAAATTAAATTCATAAAGTCTTTCGTCGGTTATAGCGGACACTTTAAGAAGCCCTGACCATCTCACATTGACGGGGTATCTTGAAAAACATCCTTGTTCTCCATTCCGTACACTGGCGAATACACTTACCTACAGCATTCAACTGTTTTCGGCACATAAGTCTACCCCAACTAATGCAATACATTCACAAGTATTAGTAAAGAATGTTAAAAAAACGTATTTAGGTAATAGTAGTATTTATAAAAAACAAAATTTATATAACCCAAATTTTAGAAGACATTAAAACCTTATACTGTTTACAATTTAATTTTGTATGAACATAATCACAAAACTTGTTTAATTCCTACAAATTATATTACATTTGATTGGACTTTAACAATAAATGAAGGAAAATGTGGAAGCAAATGATATGGTATTGATCAAAACAATAATTTAGCAAAATGCAAATCGAAATAAATCACTAGGTGTCTATAGATCTATTTTATAGTTAAAAAAATCTTAAAAATATTATCAGGATAATCCAATAGCTTTGCAATACAGTCCTTAAATACAACTAATTAAATATATTTACATAGAATTGAACCTAATTCTCAGTCATATTAGAGATGGATGGTCTGTTCTAGAATAAAACTGTTACTGTGAATCAAAAAATTATCCTACATGACATCATTCATGGAGTTAAATTCATCATGTAACTTTAACAAAGAACACAAATTTTTATTTTTATACATTTAAAAGTACCAAACTAAACAATGTAACAAATTGTAATCAGAACTGTTTTTTTTTTTTACCACAACGGTAAGTCACTTGTAAGTTACGTAATATAGATTTTGGTAAATATTATGAGATCACAGTTTGGTAAGAATATGATGATGTAGGAGGAATGTGTATTTTTGCAACATTCAAAGAGATACATCCAATACATTGCAATTTTTAAATTAAGTTGTAAAGAAAACTTTTCAAACATTAAATTTGACAATGTGAAAAGTTGTTTTTTTCATGTTTTTTTATAAAAAACTAATCTAATTGTGGCAGTGATTGAAATGTAAAACTCTGTACCACTCAAATGTCTCCTACATCAAGCTTTGTCATTTCTATATTCAGAGATGTTTACAATAAATAAACATGGAAGACAAATCAATTCAATAATAAAAAACAAATAAACAAGGAAATCCTGTGTTCCTGTAACCTTTTTACTCTTATGTGATTATGCTTTGTTATTTGAGTGTTAAAATGGAAAGATAAATGTATATGGATTTGCCCATTATGTCACAATCAGAACAGATCATGGAAATTCGGCCTATATATGAACATATTATTATAAAATATAATAAGACTTTGGCCCTAATTCTCAAGAACTTTGATATAAACTACCCAACACATAATCCAAATTGCCATAACACAATCCAAAGTGAATCAGATAAATGCAATACCATTTATTATTTATTATCTATTTATTTATTTAATAAACTATTTGTCAAAGTTCCTTTGTATTCTTAATGTCTTATGCGAACTGTTTTCCCATTCTTCTTAGGACTCACAATGAAAAAATTGACAAATAACATTCCAGACATACTGATGCACTTCTTGTGTACCTTACATCTAAATTATAACTGAGCATAAAGTACAATAGATGCATGAATAGGCCTAATTATCAGCTATGCTTAAATGAGTCACATTTAAAAACGACACATTACTTATTAGTTCAGCCCACTCATCATTTAGTTTAGTCTAAAATTAAATAATTTACAATATATGAATATTAACGTGAATGCATACAAAATTTTGTTATCATCTTTAGCACTGTACCTGGAATATTTGGCAAAATAAACTGCCGTTTGACTCTTGCCGATCGCGTGTTGGGATTCTCACAAGCGACAGTATGCTGATGTTCAGTTTCTGCGGTTTTTGTCTCAGCAGAGTTGTATGTCACATTACAAAAGTAGTTGCTGGGTAGTGTTAGCACGGCATCGGAGTCGATCTCCCTCACCGCCACTCCGTAATTGCGGCAACTGTTGTACTCGGCTGTCCCGCCGCTCCTGCCGCTGAAAAAAATATCCATATTTGTCAAAAATTCATCAGTAAGGAAGGGAAAGAGAAAGATAAAGTGTCTAACTTCGGTAATGTTCTTAAGGAGGAAGGTGGCATTAACCATATGATGTTATATGATTACCACTCCACAAGGCTGAGACATATTTTTGCAGATAGATATAATTTAAGTTTTTCTATGTATAATTAAAAGAATGTTGTTTAGGATATGGTATACAAGCAGTCATTGGTGTTAAATTTTTAATTAGAGAGTAAAATTTAAGAAACATTGAGTGCAAAACTTGAATTCTCAATTATTCTTATATTAAATAAAAATTGATTAAATTAAACTATTATATGTTATATACTAGCGGACGAACAGTCCTGTACACACTAATTATTTCGGACAACAAAATTATAAAAAAAACCGAATTGTGAATCTAAACCAACGGTCTAAATTTCATTAAAATCGGTCCAGCCGTATAGGAGTTCAGTGACATGCGCACATATATATATATCTTAAAACAACTCAGTCTCACATGGTACCATAAACGCCGTAGTGTTTAAACATTACAATAAGCCATAAAATCCGTAAAAAAGTTCAAATATATCCGTAATCGCGTAATAAAAGAAATAAATATAAAAAGTAAAAAAAATAAAGTAACAGCCAATACATGTCCCACTGCTGGGCAAAGGCCTCCTCTATACAGAGGGTATCAGGGCATAGTCCACCACGCGGCCCCACTGCGGATTGGCGGACTTCACATATCTTCGAAATATTTATTTTTTTGTTATTATTTCGAAAATATGCAGGTTTCCTCACGATGTTTTCCTTCACCGCGGAGCACGTGATAAGTCAGCACTTAAAGTTAAAAACTTCATTGGTGCCGGCACCGGGGATCGAACTCAGGTTGCTCGAGTATATTGAATTAAAGGCGAGCGTCCGGACACTGAGCTATCACGGCTAAATAGAGAAATAAAAATTGTTTAACTTTCATGGAATAACCAATTGTTAATTCTGGAAGCAACAGTTCGCTGTCACTTTAATTGATAGGTCTGTATGGGAAAGTACCACAACCTCACAGGAATACTAGAAGTGTTATACTTCTGCGTTACGTTTGTTGAGTGAGGTTATCACGGCCCAGCTTATTAAAATGTGGCAACGCATTTGCAATGCTACGGGTGAGACAAATGTCTATAGGCGGCGATTATCACTCAACATCAGGTGAACAGCCAGCTCACTTGCCACTTTGTCGAAGTTAGAAATAAAATTACACATTTTGTAATCAAGTTAGTCTTAATTTGTTGACAATCAATTAGATTCATTCTACTTACTATTTTCCGTTTCCTGATTCTGTTCATGACGTCTGAGTGTGCGGTCATTTCCACCAGGCAAATAGTTCCCCCGTGGACCTCCAACAAACACAAAAGAATACATTTTAAGCACCTATAATTGTAGTGTATTAGTTCTCAAACATGTCCCAGGAAAAGACATGATTTTATTAGATAGATTTTTGAAACACCTATATAGTTCCCCACAAAAAAGCAAGGAAATATCAAAATGTGCGGGATCAGGAGAATCAGATTTCAAAGCAATTAAGGTCGTGATAAAAATAGCTAAAATTTAATGTACTTAAAAGATTAACTTAAAGATAAATATATACATAACTATTTTTATTTTACTTCAAATTGCTTTTGAAAACCTGACCTTAAAAAAAAGTAAGTTAAAACCTAGTATAGATGCTTATTTTTCTTAATTTATTTTATCTATTTTATTTATTTTATGCACACAAAATATGTACAGAGGGAGACAAAATAATAATAATACTTACAATATATTGCAATATGTACATACCATACATATTTAAATACACAATACATATATAAATATATACATAAATAACATACTTACAATTATATATAATATACACATATTATATGATTAACGATCCAGTGAAACTGTCGACAATTTTTTGAGCAGATATTTGTGAGTCTTTCTTTTAAATGCGAAGAGACTCTTAGCCTTCCTGATGAAGACTTACTCCGTGGCACAGTTGCCAAGGTATTGGCGTCGGCGTCGGGGGTCGTCGGTTCGATTCCCACACGGGACAACTATTTGTGTGACCAACATATAGTTGTTTCGCATCTGGGTGTTCACAACACAGGATAATATTATCCTAAAGTAAGGGCAATGTTTTAAAAGAAAAAGAATAGATTGGATGAAGAAAGATGAGTGAAAAAAGGCCTTTTCATTTAAAGTTTTATCACTTAAAATGCACAGGCCTCTCATAAAAATGCAAAAATTTGATGGAGAGAATAACGGATAAATTTTAAAAAACAATTTTTTTTATGTGAATATAAATTTCATATTTTATGCAGATAAGCGTAACAAAAATATTTAAATTTATAATGTATATGTATTTCTACACATCTTGATAAAATAAATTATATATCATAAATTTAAAATTTACTGTCTAATTGAGTTGATTGTAACAAGTAAACATACCAAATTTGAGCATATTCCAATCAAATACATAGTCATATGTGAATCCTTGTCGATGAAACAATGTGCGGAACAATTGACGCAAGTGACTATAGTCCGGTCTCTCCTCGAAACGAAGTCGTCTACAATACTTCAAATATAGTTGGAATTCAATAGGATGGTTCTGTAAACATAAAAAAATTTATTTATTTAAAAATTGTATAGAATAATTCGTAGCTTTAATTAATTCATTGATACAGATTTAGGTCAAGTAGTTTGTATCTTTAAGTCCATTAATTTCTTTATTTTATTTATGTTACATTGGGAAAAAATTAAGCGGTGGCAAGTAAAAAAAATTTTTAAACTAAATTATTTCTAGCGATTCATTAATATTTACAACTATTTAAAATAAGTCAGTCTCAATATTTTCTTATTATATTTTAATATAATTGTAGACTTTAAAGTGTAACTATTTATGTAGTAGACTTATTTATTATGAGAACACAGAACATTATTCGTATTTTATCTTGCTCAAAACACAGAGAATTTAAGTATAAAATGAAACGGAAAATCCATAAATGTCATCTCATTTAACAATGAGTGCATTGGTGGATTTTAATTTATTTTGCATATACATATCTACTTTAATATAATAAATCTGATTGATTGAACACACTAATCTCTGGAACTCTAGCCGGATTTGAAAGAATCTTTTTGCATTTGATAGCCCAGGCTTCTATTTCATATTTTCGCTATCGCCTACTTTAAAGTGTAACTATTTATGTAGTAGACTTATTTATTATGAGAACACAGAACATTATTCGTATTTTATCTTGCTCAAAACACAGAGAATTTAAGTATAAAATGAAACGGAAAATCCATAAATGTCATCTCATTTAACAATGAGTGCATTGGTGGATTTTAATTTATTTTGCATATACATATCTACTTTAATATAATAAATCTGATTGATTGAACACACTAATCTCTGGAACTCTAGCCGGATTTGAAAGAATCTTTTTGCATTTGATAGCCCAGGCTTCTATTTCATATTTTCGCTATCGCCTACAAGATAGCGAAAGCAGAAACGTTTGTCGCAGATGAAATCACACGGAACAGCTAGTATGCTATTATAGATCATTCCATGAAGAAGTGAACTCATATATATATATATATATATATATATGTTTTTTTTCCAAAAAAAATGCCATTCCATTCCCTAAAAACCATAACGTTTTGACAATGCCGTAGTCATTCATAAATACCTAAATTTTACTGTGCACGAACTTGTGTGCGTGTAAGTTATGAATGATCGCGCGTAAAATAAATGAGTTGCAAATAAATCACGCACTTAATGCGGTAAGTTCAAATGAATGTAATTAATTACTTACGAGTGATTTTAAAGATTTATCATTTTTTATATAACATTATTTGTCTAGAATTTAATAAAAAAAAATGGATATACTTAGAAAAGCCAACCTGTATAAAGAAAATTATAAATTATGTATCTACATAAAATTCTTCTAACTTACTTTACACAATTCATCAAATGGAGTAGATAGTTTCTTCTCAGATATTCTTTCATATTTCTGTCGTTTTGTTGCAGCTTTTAGGCCTTGCCAAGGCAAACTTCCACGGTTAAAGTACATAAGAACATATCCCAGTGATTCCAAGTCATCACGTCGTGATTGTTCTATGCCCAGATGTGTATTTATGGATGCATATCTTGCTGTTCCTGTTATTATAATTTTTTGAGAGAATGCATGTATATGACAAACATTGTACTTAAAAAAGACTATTTTTTTGTTTATCAAAATAATTTTAGAATATTTTCGGTAACCTAAATAAACATAAAACAAACACTTCAATAAACTAACAAACATCATGTATAAAAATGAAATATCTTATGAAATAGGCATTTATTTCAATCTATTCGCAGTTCTTTAATAGAAGCATTTTGAGCACTTTCTACATACAAAAATTATTAAACTATTTATTGTTCATCATCATCAAAAATTTTAATAAATGACTTGCCAAATTTAAATAAGCTTTTAAACATTAAAGTGTGAGTCGGATTCGCTCAAGAAGGGTTTCATACCATTATCTACAAAAACAGCAAAAAATCATGTCTTTTGTATTTTAATATATGTTGTTATAAATCAGTCATAAATACATCATCTATGGATTCAACTGTCTAACTGTCACGGTTAGACAGTTGAATCCAGACTGGTGACACCAGACACAGTGGTCTTAGTAATAGGGTCCCATTTTACCGTTTCCATATGGAACCTTAAGAAGGAGAATATGGATTACCTGTTAGGTTTTTGTTTTCCCTGTATGAAATATGCTGCAGAGTCCGAGGATCTTTGTACTTTTTTGCTAATCCGAAATCTATTATATACACTAAATTTCCCTTTTTACCTAAGCCCATAAGAAAATTATCAGGCTTTATGTCTCTGTAAAATCAAATTTGGTAAATATTTTATTATATCACCATCAAATATAAATCAGTATATTATACATACATTAAAAGATATAACTGTAACAATTACTGTACGCAGGTTACTTCTTATCTTTAACCTTATAAATAAGCACAGCACAAGTCCTCAACAAGATCTATAATGATAAAGGTTTATTGCAAAGGTATAGACATACCTATGAATGAAATTCCTGTAATGGATATCTTCAATACGGGTGATAAGTTGATCTGCTAGTAGAAGCACAGTCTTGAGAGAGAAACGGCGTGAACAAAAATTAAACAGATCCTCTAATGAGGGACCCAATAATTCCATAACTAAGACATTGTAATCACCTTCTGAACCACACCATTTAATTGCAGGAATACCAACTGTACAATAAAATAAATAGTTACGTAGTGAGCAATTTGTCTTTAAAAAAGCTTTTAAAATTCTGACATCAAATTCTTATTTGGTAATTTTTTACAATAGGAATACGTGCGTTTTGCGTGTACAAATATTTTTAATCGATAAAGAAATATTATTGGAACAATAATTACAAAGTTATATGTGGAACGTTGAGATTTTGAGAAAAAATAATTATAACAGTTTTTAACAATTAAATGTTGAATCAAATTTTTCTCAATTTATTAAAAATTATATTCTTATATAATCTTCAACAAAGTATATTATTAACAAAAATGATTTTTTAAGCAACATAATGTAATGGTAATTTTTCTTATCATTGAAAGATTGAAATTTTTTTCCAAAACAAACTTATTGCCTCATATTTTGTCTGTGTAATACCTATAATGTTTCTTGTTAATTTTTGTCCAGGGTAGCTATACAGTATGGTACAAATACCATCAATTCTATTCTTAAAATTTAATGGCACAAGAAAGTAATAATAAAGATGTTAATAACATAAAGAGTCAGCAAAACAAACCATCAACATTGAATTTTAGTAAAAGTAATAAGTTAATATCTCGATTAAATGAACTTTATAGTTCATGTCTTGAAATACTTACTACCTGTTGAATTACATTCATGAATTCTAAAACCACTTACCTCCTCCTTGCATCAATTTATAAAATTTACTCTCTATATGTAACTGGGGATGCCTTGTTTTCATACATTCTAGTTTAATGGCAACCTCCTCTTTGGTCACAATGTTGGTTCCTGGAATTGATTTAGATAATAGGTTATGTTTAATGTTTTATTAAGATTGTAATGTTTACTTTGACTATAAGACTGAAGACTTAAAATGTTATCAAGCTTCATACTTTAAAACCATTACATTTTCCCAAAGGGAAATGTTAATATAAAAATCGTTACATGGATAAAAAAAAACTACCTCGTTAACAAACAAATGCATTTGGATTAAAAATGATAAGATTACATTAAATCTAGGTTATAAAATTTTGGTCCTTGTTTTAAGGATCATGGGAGCGGAAAAGATACAACTCGTATTCAGATTCAAAATTTAATATCTCAATTGTCCTTTAATACCTTCTAAAATAACATTAGATTTAAGAATTAGCAATGCTGTGTATAAAAACAACAAAAATGAAACACATGTAATACAATAAAAAAAATGTTAGCCACTTTATACATTTACTAAACTATAATGCAACTAAAACCAGCAGACATATCTCTTGGATATTACTCAGCTGACAAATGGAATGGCTATTTCGAAACAAAAAAATGCAGCTGGCCTACACTGTATTGGAGACCATTTTTCTTTGTTTATTTGAATGATTTCCTTTTATACTCACCCAAATAAATATCCCCGAAAGATCCAGAGCCGATTTTACGACCCAGTCGGTATTTATTACCGACACGCAACTCCATTTCGATATTTCTGAAGAGATGAATTTACTCTAATATCACGACCACCAAATCATTACAGGACGGCCATATTTGTGATAGACGCAGATCTCTATTTGAATGGATTCTGTAATATAAGGTGGAAAACGTAGCAATCTATTCGTTTGTTTTATTCAATCTTTTAGTATTAATATACTGAAACTTGAACAAGTATAAACTTTCTTTCACACAAAATTATTCCGAAAATTAGATCTATTCTACACACGAATCTACGAGAAATTTTTGTATCTCGTTCGCACTTCAGAGTTCACGGCAGTGTTGCTATTTCAAACTTTCAATTTGAATTTGAAACCACTGACAAATAAAATTCAATTCAAGTTATCTAGGTACCCAAAACAATGCATATAAATGATGCTTATTACGTATGTACCTATTACAATAATATTATTACAAAATATATCAATATTATTAAATCAATATGTTCCTTTACTATGTACATTTTATGTCGGAAAGTCTTAAATTATCGTCTTTATTTTATTAATTTCTTCCTTTTTTCAACATCATTTTTCAGCATTATTGCATAATTTATTTAACAAGAAGATATAATATTCACAGGAAAGCAGCGTTCGGCTTCGGCATATCTTCTCGTCTAATATTCCTTAATGTTTAAAGACAAAAGTCTTCAATCAATGTGTGCTGCTAGTAATGACCTACGGAACCGAGACATGGTCCTTCACTGCTGGCCGTATGAGGAAGCTCAAAGTCACTCAGCAAGCTATGGGCTATGCTCGGTATTTCTCTGCCTGATAGAGTTCATAACGAAGACATCCGCAGTAGAACCAAGGTAACCGACATAGCTCAGAGGATTAGCAAGCTGAAGTGGCGATGGGCCGGCCATATAGCTCGTAGAATCGATAACCGTTGGCGAAGAAAGGTTCTCGAGTGGTAGCCTCATTATGGTCATTACAGTATAGCACGACCCCTAGACTAGGAGTGAAGACCTGTGCAAATGTGTGGGAAGTCGATGGATGCACGTGGCAAAGTTCATATAAATAATACACCACGCTGGCGCGCAAAAAGCTTTGTAATAGGTGCACACTCACGTATTAATACATAAACTAATATACACACGTAGAAGGCTTGAATCAGAGCAAGTAATAGTGCAATATATACGGCTAAAAAGTATGGCACAAAGAGGAGCCTTTGAATATAAAATAGTTTATAATGTACTCTATCACATTCTTTCACCAGTTTAATTCTGTATATTTATGTGTTTGTGTCTTTGTAGTGAGGCACTTTCCTTTCATAGAAATTCAAGTCATAACGATTCTAAAGTTTCACTTCAAAAATGCAGTAAGCATTAATCTCAAAGTAAACATCACCCCCAACGTAAGATCCAGGGCCAGGGCCTTTTTTTACTTTTTTTTTGTTTACGTGGGGGAAATGCCTATGCCGTACTCGTCCTCGCGATGGCAAGAACGGGCTATGTCGGACTCACACCGACTAAAACCCCCTAATGTTCCAACCAGGCGCATTTCTTCATGGCTACGGAAACGCTTACACACACTTCGGTGACCCTGCTAGCATTGGCTGCGGCCGTCTCAGCAGCCCCTTCTCAAGGAGCAACTCCCCTCTACTTCAGGTAAAGCACGCTGGAACATTCTGCTGTTTTCCCACTCTGCCCCTTTTTGTGGCCAACAAACTCCCTCGAATTAGCTGACCAGAGGCATTGGGAGCCAGGAGAGCCAGTATTAAGAAAAAGTGCAAACAAGACCCCAGCGGCAGTTTATCCGTACCCCAGCGGCGACTCCGTTTAGCCGCGGAGTTTAGGGAGAACGGCGTATCGGAATATCAGAACTCGTCTCCCCTCGCCGCCTACCACTATCAGCGGTGCAGCCCCGCCGAGCCACGGAGGACAGGGAGAGCGTAATACCAACACTTCTCTTTCTTCGCAGCTCCTATTTTTTCAAAAGACAGGTATGCAGTGATGCAGTAGTTGTGGGGCCACAGAGGGAAAGGAATTGCAGTATTGCGATACCCATTTTCTTTTCTCTGAAGACTGACAGGCTTGATGCAGCAGCCTCAGGTCAGGAATCCCGGGAGAGTTCATTGACCGTTCAAAAGCGGCCGAATAAGAACGCACGCTGAATGTTCCAGTGTGCATTACCTGGTAAAGAGGGGGTGCCTCCCTAATAAGTGGCTGCTAAGACAGCACAGGCCAGCGATAGGTCGCGTAAGTGTACAGAAGCGTTCCAGTGGCCCTACTAATATGCACCGTAGGTGGAACATAGTAGCGGTTTTAGATCACGGTTGAGTGCCGCCAGAAATTCTTCCTTAACAAAGACGATCACCAAAGCTGTTGCCACTTATAAGCCCATCTTGGCATGTCTGAGAGATGCAAACAACTCGTTTTCTAGGCCAAAATCGCTGTGCTGTGTGTTGATCGATCTTATCTTCAAAATATACTAATTTTTCTATTGGGAGCATCAATAAAGTTTTGATATTGCTAGTGAGAGTTTCGGATAGTAAGGTAGTATAGTTTCAAAATAAATTTTGTGTATTCTGTTTTAAAAAGTAACTACCGCTAACGAAACCTACGAGTTTAATATTCCTCTTGATGTTCATGATCATGAATGTGAAATTAACAGATTTGATATTTTGAAAACGAGTTCGGAAAACGATTACAATAATTGATGAAATAATATTTTATATTTTTTTAGCTGACGCATGGAAGTCCACAATATGACTGACGTTCTTTTTTTCTATATACTAGTCTGACTGACCAGCTCTGTTCTCACATTTAACTGACTGACTGATACAACTGCTTTTTATAGTTATAGTTATAGTTTTATGTTACATATAATGTGTAATATGTAATTCACCTTATTGACCTTATCCAATGATATATCACCAGTCCAAAGTGTTCCAAACACAGTGACTGTACACATTCACACGCTTTTTAAACGGTTTTATTTAGCTCGACCCGTACGGAATTTGTTTGTTTATTTATTTGGGTCAAAATTAGAAATTGAAATTTAAGCACCTTGCCGTTATCAGATTGATCTGAAATTTGGTACACACATTTAATTTAGATGACAATACAATATTAACAAAAAAAATTTAACAAAAAAAAAAACATAAAATAAAACCGTTGAACTTAAAAGTTTTTTAAAGTAATTATTTCGTAAAAAGGATAGCTTAAGTAAAGCAATAAAAAAATAAGGACTGCGTGTGTTTGTCACTTCAACGTAAATGTGAAAAAATTTACTGGAGCGCCATCTTTATAAAAATTCTTAATGCCGTTTGCAGCACTCGTCCTCAAGAATTGGCAATAATCGATTCAACGGCGCGGTTCAATATGCGCGGTTTTTCTACTTTGAAAAAATTAAATATTCGCTGAAACAGAAAGTATAAGCCGATGTTTTCATTTAAAAGTATCTATCTACCTTCATTATACTCTTCATATGGGTAAGAAATAAAATAATATGAAAGGGTACAACATAATTATCTATTTTAAAATTAAAAACAATTAAACACATTCAAAAGATTAAATATAATTCGTTTTTGTCTTTTACAGAGTTTTTTAATTTCGGACTATTTTGATGAGCAGAATGGAGGCGAACTGTTATATACCAGTTAGAGCCATGACCATATATAATTAGGTCAGTTAGAGTTTTGATTCAATTAATGCGATGATTAAAAGTGGGCGCTTGTTGCAATCGACTCTTTAAGTTGAACCTCATTAGTTGGAAACCTTAATGAAGAAATATAAGTTAATAAATAATAATTCTGATTTTCTTTATCTTCGAGAAAAAAAATTGTATTCATGTGTGTTCATAACATATATTAAATAATAAAATTCTATTTTAATAAAACCCACAATTGCACAAAATAATTTCATTATTTAAATTAGATTATCACTCGCTACGTTTAAATAACAACTTTATGAGTATGTAACGTTGTATGAGCACCTTTTCAGTTATTTTATATCATGTACTAATTAATACATATCCATAATTAATAAATAGACATAAAAAAGGAAAACTGAACTGTGAAGTAACGATGACTTTCTGCATACATTTGCATCTGCACTTTTCTAATCTATGTCCGGAGTACATCCGTTTTTCTCATCCCTCTATTTTTTCTGTCTTTTCTTTGCTTTCTTTATTGTATACTCACATGTATACACGTCATTTTTATCATTGCAAAATTATTGACACCGCATCTTACTCATCGCCCTGCTTGAAGTGAACTAAAGACAAGACGTCCCAATTAGGACGTTCTCGTGGCCTCACCACGCGTGCGTTAGCAACATATAATTATGTAGTAAAAATATCATTGATCTTATCTTTATTTTATTTCTTTACCAGCGTAATGACCGCACTACATGTATACAGTACTATTAACAACCAGCAGAAAATTAGTTTCAATAAATTGTGCATTTTCTTCAACTATGAAGTTTATTATCTTCTGTAAAAATCATTATAGAGATGGTCTTAATTAAATAGGCATTGCTGCAACATACGTTTATTTAAAAACAAATCGATACAGTTCACATTTTTTTCGATTTTTCTAATGCATACATTTATTTGAGTAGGTATTACATAAAATTACAAAACTAATATACTTAAATCTATATCTATACCACTTTGACAGTGATATAAGTCACATAAATACAATAACATTTTATTATGTTTTTATAATTATATTTCTAGAAAAATCAAAATCTAAGGTAGCAATTATTTGAGATTACTTTACTTTTACTTTTGGAAATATATTTTTTTGAAATAAATTTCACTTTTTATCCTATCTTTATAATATATGCTTAACCAAATAACATAACATCTACAATCTGTGTTCAAGTGATAACATTTAAGTACATTTATAGCGTTAAATTTTATCGACTAACTACTTGGCACCAAGAGAGAGAGAGAAAGAAAGAGAGATCATTGCAAAAAATAAAACTTTATTTGCATGTTTATTAGTTCAGTAATAAATTAAAACAAATCCTATAATTTTACTTGAACTGATTTCACTTACGACAATTTTATGTCTATTTTAGCAAGTACTTAAATGAGTTACTTACGTACATCGTTTATGGATATAGACATATCTAAATATATTTAACATTAATATGCATTGACTTTCATTTAAAATTGCACACGTGATACCTATATGCTCTTTTCATTTTACGAACTAATGGTAACATTGATTTTGGCTAAAAGGTAACTCAAATTATGTTTATTGACTAATATTTAAGTTATACTGTCCATCTCGGTATCCATAGGAAGCCAGTTTGTCGATAGGAAAGACACGTTAAACACAAGACTCGCCGTTAAACTTATTCGCATGTGCGTGATAAAACAAATGCACTCGCTTTGTTCGAGTTTAACTCGAAGCTGACTTAGTTCAGGTTAAGCCGCTCAGGAGGAACTGATTTACGAGTTGACCGTCAGAGGCATCTTCGGGTGATTGTCGGCAAGGCCTCCCTTTCACGATCATTTGGCACGTTATTGTTCTGCTCGAGGAAACTACTTAAAGTAAATGGCGGCTCCAAGTTCTCATCAGCGTTGGTAAACCTATTAAAAAAGATGTGAACAAATATTAGCAACAAGAAGCTAGCCCCACAAAATTTATATATAATTACATAAAGCTGGTGATGACCGTATTTAATAAATTGTAGCACCTCTAGGTCGGAATGCTCATCAGGACTCTACGACATATTAGCGATAATTCTTAAGACTTGTGCATACTGTGATTTGTCTGCTGTTTCGACACACACTTAGGACTGGAGTAGTGTTTTCGTTTTGGACGCAAGCTAGAGCCCACCTTGGCCAAAATATCTGTACCGTAATTACTATGTTAACCCATTCATTAAAGACTAATTTAAAGGAACAAAAAATTAACATAACATATAACATAGTGTACAGCGCGACCAGCAGTGGGAATTTACCGTGGTCACTATCCAGGTTTTAAAGATATCTTTTGTAATGGGGAATTCCTCTACTGAACTAGTGTGTGCACCATCTAAAATATTATAATTGTTACTAACAGATGTGATAGATGTCAAGAGCTCGTTGTAATAAAAAAAAGACTACTAAAAATGTTATATCGGTAGTCATTTTTTTTATTAAGTCATTTTTGCAATAATTTATTTACGGAAGAAAGTAGCAAACGGGAAATTGGTATATATGATGCTAAGCGGTGAGTACCGCCCAGTGGCGAATTTGCCCTAAGGCCCAATAGGCCCGGGCCTAGGGCGGCCACATATTAGGGGCGGCCAATCGTGACAAAAAATTCACTGATGATAACAGGTATATGATGGGCGCCGAGTAAGTGGCGGCTGAAATTTACTACATAGGCTGAGGCCTAGGGCGGCCCAGACTACAAATCCGCCACTGGTACCGCCCCTAGACATACACAAAAATTAAGGCATTGCAATGATTCCAACTCGTAGTGCTAGACGCTCAGACGACTTAAATGAGCCAATCAATCAAAATTCTGTTCTCCATCTAAATCAAATTCTATGAGATTATATAAAATTTCATAAATAAACTTACTGGTAATAGTTTCCTTCGCCCCCTATTATGCATATTGCATTTGTAAGAGCCTTTACATAATTTTTGGCAAGTGTCAGCGTCTCAATCTTTGACAGGCTTCGATTATCCTTTTGAACATGTGGAATTACCCGTCGAAGTTCCTGAAAATAATTAGATATTTATAAAATATAACATGCTCACTATATTTTTATTTTAAAAGCATGGATCAAAGTACATACACACACGCAGTAAGTGCTAATAAAATTGCCGAAATCTAAATAATGTATACATCTAATCACTACATAGAATAAAACAAAGTTGTCCCGCTGTCTGTCCCTATATATGCTTAGATCTTTAAAACTACGCAACGGATCCTGATGCGGTTTTTTTTACTAGATAGAGTGATTCAAGAGGAAGCCGGGACGGGTCGCTAGTAACGTATAAATCCACACTTCGCTGTGCCTTCCTTTTGTTTTCGTTGGAACTTCGAAATAAAAAGTATATATAACACTATTCTGTTTAATAGTTATGGTGTGAACAAATAACAAGTCAATCCATCGCCTAGTTTTGATTTTTATGGACGCAAACATACGGAAGCTAAATTTTTACATGTAAAATTTCTCAAAGGTGTTTTAATCGGAATGACATAACTGCCATAATTCTTCATCAAATTGAATGAATACTTATTTGCACTATACTATATTACCATTCGGTGACTTATCACGGTAGTGTGCCAAAATTTCGCGTGTGTTTCTGAGTGCGACAGTCAGTCTTTTTCACGTCTTTTTATATGAGAAGGTAGCAAGCGAACTGGCGTCACGTAATATAAACCAATAACTTATTACTTTAATTTTTTTGCTATTTTCTTTTTACTTATTTTCATGTACATCCTACCCAATAACAATTTATTTTGGTAAATTTCTGAGGTTGCCTTGAAGAAATTGCTGTATAGTAAATAAGGTCCCCTTCTGATGACCAATATTTGTTAAATAGTTTGTCTATTTTGTACTTTTTATTTTTATTATTTTTCTTTTTTGACGTACAATAAAGCACATTATTATTATTATTATTAACAGCCACCCAAATCTTTTAATAAAGCGGGCCCCGGGTACCTCACTCACCGGACGCTAAGCAGAAGTGCAACACATCCGCTTCACGCCATTCTTCCGTGGTACTTCCCCGGACGAGCCTGCCCGTGCCCACAGCAAATACTTGTGGCCCGACCGCAGTCAATGTGAATTGCGATCACTTTTTTTTCTTTCTTTCTTTTTAATCACTGTCCTCCCGTTTGCAATTCGAATTGCCCTCCTGTTCTAAATTCGAATTGCGCACCTCGAACGCGCGGTTGAGCGAGTGCATGCGCATGCGCTCGCGCTCGTTGCTCTCCAGGCGGCGCAGGTTGCGCTCGCGGGCGGAGGCGCCGCACCGCCGCCGCCGGCCGGGCCCCGTGGCGTGGGCGGGCTGGGCGACCGACGCGGCGCCCGCGGCGGCCCTCTGCGGGCGCTTCACGCGGCGCATGGCCATCTCGTCGCTGCCGCTGCCGCTGTCGTAGAAATCTGTAACGGTGTCGGAGGACCTGTCGTTAGTATGTGTCGGCGCCAAAAAGGTTTTATTTGACAGAACCAAGTTTGATTGGCGCTTCGGTCTGCGTAATGCCGGTTCCTGATTTCTTTTTCTTTTGTGTTAAAAGATGGCAAGCGAGTTTGCTGATGTTAAGTGACAACCGCCGACCGTGGACATTTGCAACACCGGTAAGGTTGCAGATCCGTGGGCCCCGGTTACCTCACCCACTTCCACTTTCAGGCCGGTCCTGTTACACTACTGAGCACGACCTCACAGAAGAGCGGCGTGAAGTGGTAGTATGGTTTCGTATGGACGTACGTTCGGGTTTCGTTTGGTGAGTGAGGTAACCGAGTTCCACTTTATAAAAGATTGGAAGTTCGTTTGTACTTATTTCTAGTATTTAGTTTATGTCTGTCACTATTCTTTACATAATTATTAATATTATGTTTAACATACAAAATTACAACAAATATATTGAGACGCAACAGTGAGTATATTAATTCCTTTAAAAAGAAAGGTCTCTGAGTGTATTCCGGGCTCCGATGTTATAGATTGCTCGGACAGCTCTTTTTTGAAGAATAAATATAGAATTTATATCAGATGCACTACCTCACAACAAAATGCCGTACGACAAGATGCTGTGGAAATAACTGAAGTAAACAACGGTGAAGTAAACAAAGTTTAACGGTGGTAGGGCCACGCAGCAGCTGCGGCTGTTGCACGAATGGGCAGGCCCGTCCGGGTAAGTACCACGACCTCACAGAAGACCGGCGTAAAGTGGAAGTATGACAAATACTTTCGCGTTTCGTCTGGTGAGTGAGGTAGCCGGAGCCCAATTTTCAAAAGGTTGTCAACGCATCTGTAACCCTCGGGGTTGTGGCAGATGTCCATGGGCGGCGGTATTCACTTAACATCAGGTGAACCGTCTGCTCGTTTGACAACTTTTCGCATAAAAAAAAAAAAAAAAAAAAAAAAAACAAGTCTGGCAGTGTCGATGTCTGTTAGCTGCCTAACCTTCCTAATTGCAAAAACAGCGGAGCTTAACCTATTCGCAAGAGATGTGAGATGGGGACTCTATTGGAGCTTTGAATCCACTGTAATTCCCAAGAATACAGCGGACTCAACAGGATTAAGGGTTACGCTATTTAATGTAAAGCTAAAACTGGGAAGGGTAAAAAGAAGGCATTTAGTTTTTTTAGCATTTCATTAGCATTCAACGGACACTTTGATCGTATTAACGTAGCGTTAACGACACTCAAGGTTGGCGTATCATTTGTCGCTTTGCATCTTTCTACCTATGGCATCTGAGGCTATTAATTTTTACTGTTTTCTACGTATTAAATGTAACAAATCAATTAGTACACAACATGCAGCCGTGATAGCTCATTGTTCGGCCGTTCGATTTTAATTGTATATACTCAAGCAACCTGAGTCCAATCCCCGGTGCCGGCACCAATGGAATTATTAATTTAACTGCTGACTTATCACGTGTATAAAGCTAAAGAAAAACATCGTGAGGAGGAAACCTGCACGTTTTCGAAAGAATAACAAATACTTCGTCGTAAGTGAAGTCCGTCAATCCGCAGTAGGGTCTCATGGTGTACTATGCCCAAATTCCCGCTGTATAGAAAAGGCCTTTGCCGAGCAGTGGTAAAATAGACAACATATTACTATAACGAAAATGTATCTAAAAAAAATGAAGAATACACTACGGAATACTTTGTGAATCTTCCCGTGAAAAGCCGTACTAAATTTATCGCGCTCGAGAAAAAAGCAATTTTAGATAGTGTACCAAAACTTATTTAAAAAAGAATATCTATTAGTTTTTTAGCGTATTTTCAAAACTAATAGTTTCCTTTGTTTAATTATTAAGTATCCTTATCTTATTAGTTTTTATACTATCTAGTTAGTAAATAATGTTTAACAGCAATTATTATTGAAGTGACCAAGCCTTTAAGATTCCCGGTACATCTAATTTTTTTGCTAGTGCACTGTATCTGGCCTCTAACTTCAACGCCGCCATTAAGCTTGGCGCCTATATTTGCCAGGTCAAGTTCACGAAAAAATTATGATTGCTTCTTGCAATCAATATCATCAAATATAAAAGTTTTTTAACAAAAAAAGAACCGTCTTCAAAAAACTCTATTAGTACTAAAAAGTTTAAAATAACACTAAATCTCATATTATCAATTCTTGAAAATCTAATCTATATAAATAAAAAAAATATATTTTTTTTTAAAAATTATCATTTTTTGGAGTCGGTGCCAGATATAAATAGACTATTTTGTATGGTATCTGGCTAATTTTAACCTAAATAGTAATCACTCTGGCTAAATTGGCTAAACATTATGTATGCTTTACCAGATGATAAACATTTTATTCAGATAAATTACATTGACCTACTTTGTTTAATATTTCACAATATATACAAACAAGGTGAACATTTAATATCTTCGTATCCGAGCTGTCGCTTTAAATTCATTGTAATCGAGTTCTATGAAACTGTTAATTACAACTTTATGTTCCTATTTACTTCGTGCTTGGCGGTAAAGGAAAACGGTGTGAGACCAGCAAGCATGTCTAAGAATTAATAAAAAATATTTCTAAGAAATATAAACATTGCTAATCCTCTGTAAGAAATGATGTGTACCCAACAGGGACATTGATAAATAAATGTAAAAAAAATAGTTTAAAAAAATTGTTATTTTATTTAGTAGCTCGTTAAACATACAAAGGAAGGTTTGGATTAATTTGATATTGACGTTGTAAAAAGTAAACGTAAATATGAAGACGTATTATGACAAACATTCGTGTGGTTATTTATCAGAAGGAATCATGTATATCCTAATCGTCATTGTGTATAACGCACGTAATTCATGTTCGAGTATGTGACGCAACGTCACATATTTGAATAAAAGCCACGTTTCGAGAGATATTACACTATCTTTTACTTCATTTATCAATACTGTTGATAAATTTGGTGGCAATGAGCGTGGTCCCATTAGCACAGACTACGTACAGGAGCTTTAACATTTACGGAGAAATGAGACCGACAACGCATTTAGAGCTTATTAACAAATAAAACCGTTTAAATAAAAACTTTTAAGTTAAACGGTTTTATTTTGTGTTAAATTTTTTTTGTTAATATTGTATTGTCATCTAAATTAAATGTGTGTACCAAATTTCAGATCAATCTGACAACGGCAAGGTGCTTAAATTTCAATTTCTAATTTTGACCCAAACAAACAAATTCCGTACGGGTCGAGCTAAATAAAACCGTTTAAAAAGAACAGTCACAAATTATTTTTGAATTATAATAATCCGATAAGTTGAACTGAGGAATTAAATCATGACTTTGCTTTTAGTAGGGCCCACAAAAACCATCACTGTGTCAGATAAACTCCCGATTATATTAATTTTTCAATTATAAATATAAAAAATAAAATAAATAACTAATAAGCATGTGCTAGCTTAAAAACAGTTCCCTCGTATAATTTTATCCTCTAAGGCTTATTTACGATAATATTATCATTTTAAAGTTTATACAAGTCGTATACATTAATGAATATTTCATGGTTATATGCCTCTATGGTATTCAAGTTCACTACTGAAATGAGTCTTACGTTTTAACCAATAAGCCATCCCACATTTTGTGTCATAAGATGCATGGCGCAAAAAGTAATGAAGAATTATTACACTTCTGTGCTAATAAATTGAGGGCCGTAATCAGTACAGACGTCATACACTGGTATTTCGACGAAGCGTTTTACGTAGGTTTAGAATGTGACGTCATCAAAGCGAAGTAAGCAGACGCAATGAGCAGCCGGATATAGGGGGAAGCCGGATATAGGAGATGCTTTGAGAATCAATCCCGGTGCATTTTCAGTTTATAAGTAAATCTTTTCATCAACATTATCACCACCACCACCATCATCATCGTCGTCATCATTTCAGCCTTTTTAAATCTAGTGCTGAACACAGGCTTCCCCACAGACTGCCAAGAAGGAAGATGAAATCAAAATACATAAATAAAAGTTTTCAAATAAAAAATTAATAATGCAAAATATAAAACAGGTATATTTTATTATGAAGTTCTCGCATAGCGGTATTTAGTGCGTTATTGCGTTATTTGCCTAAACTTGCTGTCTGGGCGTCGTACCTATATGATAAGTAAACAAATCTGACACATAATTTAAATATTCAGAATCTTAACGCTACAATGTTTTGACACTGCATAATGTACAATGTGAAGTCATGAGGGCCGTGATATGCATATTGGCGTGACTTCTTGTAGTGTCTAGTACTTGAGAATAATCTCAACCAAAAATATTTTTACGGTGGTAGGGCTACGCAGCAGCCTCGGCTGTTGCACGAATGGGCAGGCCCGTCCGGGTAAGTACCACGACCACGACGAAGTGGAAGTATGACAAATACTTTCGCGTTTCGTCTGGTGAGTGAGGTAGCCGGAGCCCAATTTTCAAAAGGTTGTCAACGCATCTGTAACCCTCGGGTGTGGCAGATGTCCATGGGCGGCGGTATTCACTTAACATCAGGTGAACCGTCTGCTCGTTTGACAACTTTTCGCATAAAAAAAAAAAAAAAAAAAAACAAGTCTGGCAGTGTCGATGTCTGTTAGCTGCCTAACCTTCCTAATTGCAAAAACAGCGGAGCTTAACCTATTCGCAAGAGATGTGAGATGGGGACTCTATTGGAGCTTTGAATCCACTGTAATTCCCAAGAATACAGCGGACTCAACAGGATTAAGGGATACGCTATTTAATGTAAAGCTGAAACTGGGAAGGGTAAAAAGAAGGAATTTAGTTTTTTTAGCATTTCATTAGCATTCAACGGACACTTTGATCGTATTAACGTAGCGTTAACGACACTCAAGGTTGGCGTATCATTTGTCGCTTTGCATCTTTCTACCTATGGCATCTGAGGCTATTAATTTTTACTGTTTTCTACGTATTAAATGTAACAAATCAATTAGTAC